TTGGTTCTACTTCCCCAATCCCAAATTTCACTGTAGACCTGTTAGGGTTAGGGTTCTTAATAGGTGACTTGATGCTCATCGTCTTTGAAGTGGTGACTCTCTTATAGGCTGATGTTTCTCTGAAATTTCCTTTCTTGTAGTAGAGATCACTTGCTCCTTTTTTCATGAAAAGTATTTTCTTTTTTTAATCTTGAACTGAGATTAATTTACTGCATCATACAGTTCTTGGATTCAGTTACTCCTGGATTTTAATGTTCATTGAGAGTGTTCATTAATTGCAGAGTAATTCTTTTGTCATATTATTGAACTAGATTTTTTTCTGTCTACAGTTGCTTATGCTATTTGTTATTGTTTCTTCATGAATTGAATAATGGAGTGACCTTCTTGACTTTCACTTACATCTGACAGAAACAAAGACAACTAGAGAGACTTTGTTTGATAGCAGAGAAATAATAGAATATACTCTTGGACAATAATTTTCTAATATTTTGGTTGCAAAGAGCTTACATAGGAAGAGTATGTGTTTCAAATTGGAAATGTTTTGAGATTGAAACAATTCAAACTATCTTGATTCAAAACCTTTTGCACATTCTTCAGGAAATCTTACTGAATTTGAATAATTCACACAGAAATATTTAGCTTTCTAAACTCTTTACAAAGTCTTATCTATTTTGTCATCCTGTAATTTCTAGTAGCTTTGTTATATATGAAAATTCATTTTATTTTTCTAGTTTTCTTTTGAATAAAGGGAACTTCATAAAGCATTGAAATACTTATGCATTATATGTAGGACTTTTATGTATAACAAGATGGGGATATTTGATAGAAGCAATAACACAATTTGTGTTTTGTTATTGCTTCAGATATTATCTTCACATGCACACAAGAACACATTTTTTGCTGAAAGAAAAAATGCTATGAAAATTGCATTGAAAAAGATGACTAAGGGATTGAAGAGAATTGTATAATATAAGAGGAAGGATTATAAGGTGGTAATCTGTTGAAAAGAAGGTTGAAAGTCATGCTATATTTCATAACTTTAGTTTTGTTTTTCTTTGGATTTTAGCTTACTTTAAAATTCTCATTTTTTTAAAAAAAAAGCATCTTCACGTGCATTGCAGGTAGAATGATTTATCTGCTTCATATCTCTTTTATATCCATCCACAGTTCCATAATTTATGTTAATGCTGCTCCTATAATGGCTTGAACATTCTTACACAAACTATATTTGCTGTAGTTCTGTGACTTTTGGCTTTTTTACTTTGTTAAGAATTTATGTGATAGAATAAATTTTTTTTATGATGACTTGGTCTGATTTTGTGTGTGTGTATTGCAGGAGTGCAAGAAAAAATGGGTATAATGAACAAAGGAGTAGTTTATGCTCTCTGGGATTACGAGGCTCAGAATGAGGATGAGCTATCCATTAAAGGAGGGGATTGCATGACAGTCCTTCGCCGGGAAGATGAAGAAGAAATAGAATGGTGGTGGGCTCAGCTAAGTGACAGAGAAGGCTATGTGCCACGGAACTTGCTTGGGGTAGGTTGAAATAGTTGCAATTGTTTCTTAGTGTAAGTTGATATCAGTATATCTTTTACACAAATGATTTGAATGTGTTAATGGCTTCCCTCACTTTCTAAATTGTTGGGGTTTCCTGCAAGTTAAATTAGAATGCAAGCATGATTTAGTCTAAAGTCATGGATGTTCAATATTTAGCGATGTTGTAAAACCAGCAATTTCTACCTTATGAAGCTGCTCTTCTATAGCTGAAATTGATTTCATAAAGATCTATTTCAAGTCAGCATTCATAAAGAAGTTTGCTAATGGTATATTTGGCTTCTTGGAATATAGGTAGGATGGATTCCAGAACTACTCTATAGTGTTTTAAAGCACTGGGGACCCTATGAGAGGAACAAACAGTGTATTTTTAAAATAATCCTGATCCAGAAATGCAGGACTTGAATCAAATCTATTCACTGAGATCTTAAATAATCCTCAAAATAAACCCAATAGATAATTGTAGAGTCTCTCTAGTTCACTCTTCCCCCTCTAGCCTTGACTTATGGCAATTCCACACATGATTTTGGTAGTCTATATGATGGCTCAAGAATTAAAGATGCTGAGCTTGTCAGTGTAAAGATGACAGCCTAGGTTTGAGACCCGAGTGCTGCACAATGGGGTGAGCTCCTGTCACTTGTTTCAGTTCCTGCCAACAAAGCAACTCCAAAGCATGCAAATGCAAGTAGAAAAATAGGTACCACCTAGGTGGGAAGGTAACAGCATTCCGTGCACCTTGGTGTATAGGCACACTGGCCACAGGACCATGGAAATTTTTAGACAACGCTGGCTCCCTTGGCTAAGAAACAGAAATGAGCACTACCTCCTAGAGTCAGATACAACTAGATAGGGGAAACATTTACCTTTATGCGTGTCTGTATTTGCAGTACATACTCCTCTTAAAAAGAGCTTCAAGGAGAGCATCTTAGGTATTTTTTAAAGTAATTACTGTGTGTCTTGACTTGTGTACTTGAGATAACAACCCCTCTTTTCTCTTTTTCCAGCTATACCCAAGGATCAAGCCAAGGCAAAGAAGCTTAGCATGAAAATGTTAAGAGAAGCAATTTTATGAAGTATTAACTGCAGGATGTTTTCCTTTTCATTTGCAGAAATGCATCTGTGAGACTTCCTTTGGTAATAATGTGATATAAAAGCAAGGCTGAATATACCTTGAAAACATATGAAGGATAAAAATTATAGAAGAAATTCTACAATGCTATTTTCTCAAGCAATGAATTAGTTTCCCCTTTAGGCAAATTAGGCCTAAATTAGGCCTTCTCTGCTTCTACAGTAGCTTTCTTTCCACCCCCTTTTGTAACTTACTAGTAAGATAGAACCCAACGATTGCTCCAGACAGTCTCTCTTAAACCTTTTTCATTCCATACTGTAGAAACAGAGCAATGTTAAGCCAGGTAACCTTTTCATATAGAAACTAGTAATATTGTGCTTTTAAAATGTCTTAGTAGCAGAGCTAATGGGATGAAATATCTTAATTAAAACCTGTTGAATTAAGAAATCTAAAGCAGTTCTTTGAGCAATAATTTTAAGTGCAGTAGCATTTTAGGATTCCAAAGTATTTGAAATATGTCACATGTGATGTAGCTTATGTGGGGTGTTTTTTTCTTCTTTACAAACAATATTAAATGTAGAAAAGCCAGTTTTTGCATCTCACAAATTTTGTTACAACTATCTTTTCCTTGACTGTGATTAAACCTTTGCTTCAGAAAATACCAGTTTGTTTTTACTCTTTGAATACAGTGTTCCTGTCATTGAACTGTTCTCATGTGCTGATGTGAGCACAATAAAGATTAAAATTTGTGACTCCCAATGTTGTCAGCATTTCTTGGTTATCAGGGATATTTTTCTGTGACCCATAAACTAAAAAATGACATTGCTCTTGACATTTAAGTTCTATTACTTTATCCTGATGAATTAGATTGTATAGAGGGTTACGTGGAGGTATAAGAGAAGGAAGATATCTGAAAGGAAGTGGTTTGTTTTAAAATTGCTTTATATCTATTATTGACAAGATCATACCTTCTTGAATTATGGTAATCTTCCCAGCTGTATCAAGCATCCTGTGGCCCTCACTCCTTTGGACATTGAATTTTTCATTCAGCTTTAGAGACAAAAATGTGTGTTGACAGTGACAAAGATGAAGTCTGATAAGTTTGTACGACAACCGTGTGTAAACACACATGCATACGATAAGCCTCTTTATGGAAATATTCAGATCCAGAAAATGCATTCTTACACTTGCTGATTAATCATTCTGTTAATTAAATAAACAGTGTGTGTTGTAGTCCTCGTTTCACAGTCATTTGAAGTTACAGCGTCAAAGAGTGAATGGTATTGATGTCCAGAACCCGAAGTTACAGCACTTGGAACACCCTATGGTCACATGACCAAAATTTGGGCACTTGGCAGCCTGCCCCTATTACAACAGCAGGGGTGCTTCAGTTCCATTCACCTCCAGAACAGTGTGTACAGGCCCAGAAAGAAAGGCCTAGCACACCCAGAAGTTTTCTTGCATAGGGTCAATCCAGACATACCTCATCAACTGCAGGAGGAAGGTGGCCAAAGGTCAGCAGGGCCTGCAGAGCACAAGGGCACAGGATGGCTGGGGCTTTGTACTTTGGCCCCTGGTGGCTGGCCACAGCTTGAGGCAGCACCCCCAACAGCAGGGGATGAAGTAGAGTGGGGCAGTGGTGATTAGCTGGGACTGCTGAAGGCCCCAGGCATACTTCAGCCCCATCACTGCTGACAAGAAATGCTGCTGTGCAGAGTGGTCAAAACAGCACAGATGGTAGGGAGATGGGTGGGGCAGTTTAAGAGCAAGCAGTCCTTTGCCTTACCAAAGCTCAGGGCTGGGAGGGACTGACCTGGAAATGACTTTGATCAGGGTGATTGGTAGCTAGTGGAATTCAATTAATATCAAAAGGATTGCTGGTGCTAAGTGATATGGTCACATAATGTCAATTTTACAACTATGTTGCTTAGCAATTGAAATTCTAGTCCAATTACTGGCATTAACTGAGGACTACCTATACTGTAGAGGCAGGATAACACAATGGCAGAGAAGTTGGCATTTCTTAATTCCAAGCAATTATTCCATTTTATTGGTTAAAAATGTCACTGGCTCAAATGACAGACCAAAAATCATTTTTTTAAAAAAGATGAGAAACTATTGGTATTAGGTAATTAGTGAAAATAAATATGTCATTACACTGCAAATAAGTGAAACAGATTGCATAAGTTTTATTGCACTGCAAATAAGCATTAGCTAAGATTTACTGCAGATTTGTTACATGATAAAGTTAACATTTCTAACTTATATTCAAGTTACACCGCTAGATTTTTTTTTAAAAAAAACCTTTTCCTGAAAAAGCTCAAAATTAGGAATTTATTTGAACAGTAGAGAGAAAAGAAAAAAGAAAATTTGATCCGAGAGCTTATGAACTATCTTTTGTTTGAATAGTAAAAACATGGAAAAGCAAATATAGTATTACATAAAAAGTTACAGCTAATATATTGAAATTGTTTGGTAGTTGCTTTGTTTTTTTTCAATAGTCTCTCCTTTAGCAGCTTCACAATAAGTACAAAATGTATAATAAGCCCTTTAAAAACATGTTCCATGTTTATTCCCAAGAAAACTTTTCACCATTTTTTTCATTGCTTTCTCATATAGTAGTGAAGCACAACCACTGTGGAAGAGAAGGGAAAAAAAAGCAATAAGCATCCTTAAACAATAAGCAATAAGCATCCTTAAACAAATCTATGGCAAGCGGATAAAATTTATCTGAATTATGTCTTTTTTCAAAAATAAAATTCTTTGTAGAAAAAGGCTTGAGTCAACGAAGCAAATTTAACGCTTACAAATTCTGGACAAATTTGATTAGCACTGCTTTACAGGAAGAATTAAGTACTTTTCTGCCTGGATTTATAGACAATATAGCAGTAAGAAAATCTCTACGTTTCATAAACGCCCCAAATCCTACACATGAATTCCTCTGATTTATACTTACAAGTGCTGATATTTTGCAGATTGTTAATTTTATATCATAGGTTAGCAATCTCATAATGTTTTCTTCCTGGCTAGACTAGAACGACAGATGGGCTTGAAGTTTTAAACATAAAGAGGATGCTAGGTTGCATCCCTTGCTAAGTAACATCATAGTGTTAGTTTCTTAATCTATGAAAACTCTGAACATGGCTTGGAAGGGAGCCTGAGTACATTTTTTGACTGAGCAGTAACTTTCTGGTACAAAATGTTTGAGGAATGCAGCTAATAGCTACACAATTAAGTTGCTCTCCAGCTGATTTATACTATCTGTTTCATTCTTTGTCATTACTCTTTTGTGTTCAAATAGAATACATATCTTGATGCTACATAATGAATTATAGCATTTTTTAAAAATCTGCAGTGTTCAGGGTAATGATATGTGCTGTGTTATGCATATTTTCAAATTAAATTAAGACTGCACAAGATATATCCATGCTATCTAATGCTGTCCTTCCTTCTCCAAGTCTGCTAAAATGCTGCATTGTCTCTGGTGCACTTATGAACAAGACAAATAGCAGCCACTAAAACTTATTCATGGTTCCGCTTTTAGGGCTGCAGAGGGGTTGGGGGGGCTTCTATATCTGCCAAAACATTCTTTTTATCAACTATGTGAAATATTAATGAACAAGTTTGATTTATGGAGGATTTATGTAGTCCAGAATTATTTTTATACACACAATGAGTTGTATATTAATATTTCCTTAATATAATTAATTAAAAGCTGTAAGCATTATCTGTTTATGGAGTCTGTGTAGGCAAGCACAGAAAAAAACGAGTTTCTCCTACTACAAGGCTTAATTATGGCAGTCTGCTCTCCTGAGGCATAGCCTGTCATATGTCAGCCACAGCTGCATGGAAACTGCTATCTTTCCTGCTCTGTGTTTTTAGTCTCTGGAAACTTTAATGAGCAAATAAAGAAAGGCTGCACATCTATCAACTAGATGTTTAGTTAATAGAAGATTTCCAGTGACTGGTATATAAACAAGGTCATTTTAAACTAGCAAACACAAAAAGGAGCTTTTCCTCCAAAGTGACTTTGTTCCATTAGATTTTGACAGGCTTGTTAACTTACAGTGACAAGATCCATCTGTATTGTTCCTGTTTTCTCAGTATCCAGTTTCTTAAATATCTCTACAAGGGGATAAAAAACCCGAGTTCAATTAATAAAGTTCATCAGTTTCTCCCAGGAAAGAAAAAAGCAGCAAAAGCTATTTCATCAAGAGAAACAAGGGAGAAAATTACTATCCTTAGCCATTAGACCTGCCCCTAAAAGTCTGTAATTTAAATGAAGACGTGTAATTATGGGAATGTAAAGCATTGTTCCCTTTCATAAATAATTACAGCCTCTTAGTTAAAGCTAGGAAGTCAGTTTATTTATTTTCACAAAGTGCCCTTTATATTTTAAGAATTGCGCATAATCCACACAAGCACTTTATTGCTACAAATCTTATTGCAAGGAAGCCGTTCATATTGCCTATCTGGAATTCAGTAAAAGTTAAAAACTAAACAAAAGCATTATTTTAAGATCACCAGCCTAAATTAAAGATACTCACTGAACAAAGTCTCCAGTCGAATCAAGCACCTAACAAAGTTATCAAAATCAATAATCAGCTGCTCATCAGCAAAACGGGCCACAATGACTTGATGCAATTGGCAATCCAACTTAAATCCTGAAATACAAGTAAAAGTCTAATTGCTACAGATGCATCCTTGGTGCAGCTGAATACAAAGCAAGAAGGAGCTGCTTGTAAAAGGCTTTAAAACATTTTAATATATTAAAATAAACATTCTGATCACATAAGGAGAAGCTTCGATATTGCTACAAACCTTACCCAAGTGTTGGAATTGGTTTTTCCAGCCTTACCCAATTAGGTGTCCTCCAATTGTGTGGATTATGCTTCCTGTCATTCTTAGAAAGGGCACCCGCTGGCCTGGTGGGAAGTATGGAACGGGTGGGATTCTACCGGTTCTGTCCAGCTCTGTAGAACCGGTAGCTCTGAAGAGCAGCAGACATAGAACGGGTTCTATGTCTGCTACTGTTGTGGCCCACCCGCCCGGGCTCTTACCTATCCTTTATTTCCTGCTTTTTCAACCTCAGCTGCTTTGTGGGGCACACCTGTGGTTGAAATAGCAGGAAAAAAGGGCTTTTCCAACCACTGTGCACCCACACGCACCGCTGCTCAGCTGTCCGGGTAGCTCAGCAGGTCGTAAATTGCTCTCACGCAACTCGCAACAGAACCAGTAGTTATACCAGTCGGATCCCATCCCTGGTGTGGAAGTGATAAAAGAACAATCTGGAGGATATCCGGTTGGGGAAAACTGGGCTACGTTATTCTATCTATGACGTATTGCAACTTTTCAGGACCACATCTGGAAGCAGCTATGATGAGGGAGCCTATAATGTATTGGGCCTTAATCATTAGTCTTTGGTGATCTCTTCTTTTGATCAAAAAGTACCTGCTTCCTCCAAGGCTTTCCGCATCTCATAGGAGTTCATGGTGCCAGAACGATCTACATCCATTTCCCGATAAATTTTCTACAAAATATAGGAAAAAAGGACATTTTTTCCCTATTCAATATACTGCATTATCTAATGGAAAAGAATCATATACAGACAGTTCTTTTTATTTCTTCATTATTCATGCACATTTCTTCTCTTGATAAAATTAAAATAAGTATTCTTTTTCTTCTGGAGAATTAATCTTGGGCCTTATAAGTTTGATGGAATAAGTCAGTATTTCTCAACCCTGGCAGTTTGAAGATGTGTGAACTTCAACTCCCAGAATTCCCCAGCACACAAGAACAAATGAACAAGTTGCACTTTCTCCTATAAAAGCCAAGGCTTCTTAAGTTTCATGTCTCAAAGCAACAATGCACCTTGCTTGATATCAATGACACTATTGGTACCAGGAAACCCATCCAAGCTACACAGTCTAAGTTGCAAGAGTAGATCTTAAGCAATCAAAATTACCCATATTAATTTATTTAAAGGTCCACTTTTACCTGGTATTTCTGAATCTTTGTCCAAAGTATGTGGAATTCTTTCAGCCCTAGTTTACCACTTCCATCAGCCTGCTTTGGTTAAAGAAATTTCCAATTTAAACAGAAAAAAAATATATCCAAATTTCTCTCACTGTAGGAGCTTTCTTTGGCTATATTTCTCCCACATCAATCTACAGAGCAGAATCTTAGTTCTTCCAAGGTTCCTTTGCTACCTTCTACAAAACTCTTGCTAGTTTTGTAGAAAAAAAACCTATTCTTGTACATGGGATAGACACCTGTTCTTTTTATGTAACCTTTTTGGTACTTTCTATATTTGAGGGGTTGGGCAACTTTGGAGGAGATAGGAGTGGACGGTACAAAGTGGATAAGGATAAGTTAGGGTGCTTTTTGTATTTGTACATTGGCATTTTTTAATTTTGTATTGTATTTTTGCATCAAGATTTGAACTATTTTTTACAACAGTCATTATGAAAATTCATTTTCCCCAATAGGCTTTTTTTTTTAACCAGAAACTGGAAGTTAATGCCAGAAACCTGCAACAAATTGTAAATTACAATCATATAACTGTGGGAGGTTGCAAATGATCTAGTTGTCTTATATTATTGTTTCACTGCATGTTTACCCAACACTATGTATATTCATAATGTTACAAAATGTCAATGATTTAAAAAATCCTTCTCCAAGGAGCATTAATCTAACATTTCATATTGTAGAAGAACAGGGAGGAGAAAAGACAATTATAATATGGTAAAAATGCAAGAAAAAGAATTTGTATGAATTTATACTCAGAAAAGAAAAATTAAGTCAGCTTTTCCTAACTTGATACTTCCAGATTTGTTGAGACTGCAAATTCAAGAATTTCCAACAAGGACAGCCAAATCCTGCATAAATAAATAAGCCTGGTTGTTAAGAAGGCTTATACATTAGTTTCGGGAAGATGTTCCAAATACGTCATGAAGCAAGTGGAGTTATCAAAGGTTTTTGGGTAGCTGAGGTAAAATTGTACGACTTAAAAACCGCAGGATGGGGTGTGTGGGAGAACAGTATAATGGAATTCCAGAAAGAACTTTGATTTTATTAGATATGCCAAATTTGGGCTTCAAAAGTCCAGACTACTAATAGATGGTGGCATCTATTTCTGTATTTCGTTACTGCCATCTAGTGATACACTTTTTAGCCTAGGTAGAATTTGCATGATTTAAGCTTTTATATGTGGTATAGGCAAAAATATTGTTTGCACATGTGAATAAAGGCAGAGGTATAGTAACTAATTACAGCCTTCTTTGTTTATGAACATACAAAGAATGAATGAAGATCATATGCCTGTTCCATATAGCTTAATACTATTATTTTGTTTGTTTGGCAAGTGAGTCCCCAAGCTCTTAGCCTAAGATCCCCTTCCAGCCTTGCTACCAAATGTTTTTTTTAAATGTACATGCTAACTATAGATATGTCACCCTTCAATTTAAATACTTATTATATTTATATCCTGCCATAAACTGAACTGAATCTTGACAATTAAACATGGAACATCCTGCTACTGCGTATGCCTTCTTCAGACAGACCCTATTTGGTAAAATAAAGCAACTATGATCGGCACCAAAGGTGGTATTCAGCCGTTTCTGAACAGTTCTGGAGAATCGGTAGCGGAAATTTTGTGTAGTTCGGAGAACTGGCAAATGCCACCTCTGACCGTCCCTGCCCCCATCTATTCTCTGCCTCCCGAGTCCCAGCTGATCGGCTGGGTCTTCTTTTGTTGCCCTGCACAGGAGAAGGGAGCTGGAAAACAGGTTAGTGGGGTGGGGAAGGAATGGAAATTTTGCAGTATCCTTCTCCTGCCACGCCCACCAAGCCATGCCCACAGAACCGGTAATAAAAAATTTTGAATCCCATCATTCATCAGCATGTTCTCATCCATTTACCCAAGAGATGAGATATAGCATACTTCTATTAAATACAGAAGAATTTAACTTCTGTAAGGATTTCCTTAACTGAAACACTCAAAAGGCGCACTATAAACTGTTGACCATTCTCTTACCAGGTTCATCTTCAGCAAAGTGCTTTAATGACCACCCTTAATTCTGCTGCCCCCACTTTTCCCTACTAGAATCTTAAACAGAAAATGTACAGCATACACTGAAGGATACATCTAATAGATCAACCATGATTTTGCAAGTTTCAATACTAAAACCGTCGGATTTAATATCTTGACCTGCAAAGAAAAACAGCACATTTGTTACACATAGAAATATTTTCCTAAGCCTTTAAATTTTTTTGCTACTCCTGCAATTATTCTATTCATCTAGTTCTATTTCATTTTTTAAAAGCTAATTTTAAGCACTGATAACTTCCCTCCCTTACCCACACGGCAGGTTCTATTGGTCTTTTATTGCACTAATAAATTAACAGCCATTAAAAATAAGGCTTTTTCAAGCCCCAAATCATCTCCTTTGTTTGCAAATTTTAAAAGATTTTCTTTCATAAAGTTTAATGGCTGTACTTTATTAACTGTATTGCTTTTGTCTACATGTGATGTTTTGTTTTCAAACTGGCTAAATTACATTTTAATGAGGCTATAACTTTAATGAATTATTTTATCTTTTCTTACAATATTTTATTACTGGAGCGTTTTAATATTTGTATCATTACCACTGAAGGCTTTGGTCTCAGAAAGGTGGTTTTTAATATATGAGTAAACAATTCAATTAATAGCAAAGAAAAAAATTAATGAAGTTGCCACACCAAGAGAAGGAATGTTTTAACAATATCACTTAAAATGCCTGAAAAAAAGCTTTTGCCTAACAACCATAAAATGTCAGATGATCTCCTTCTAAGGAGTACTTCATAATCAGTAACATGACTGAGAAATTCTAAAGTCTACTATTATCTGGGCTGGTGGCGGGGAGGACAATGATAAGATGGCAGCAAAAAGTATCTTGCACTCTACTCTTGTATTTAATGATTATCCAGATGTTTGCTTTTTAGATATGATAAACCTAAGAAGTCTCATTTCTGATTTTCATGTCTTATAACTATGAGCCAAAAAAGTCAAATACTCAGCAAAAAGGGCAGGCGCAGCTATAATTACTTCTGTGTGAAGCTGTACAAAGGACAATTAGACATATGAGGCTCAAATAGCAGGAAGTCTGACAATCATCCAGTATTAAAATCAAAGGGAAAAAGAAATGCTTTGATTTATTGAATCAAATCCCATGGACATACAGAACTTTGGATATGCTTTAGTGCTTCAAATAAATGTTGAGTTTGTATATCCAGAAGGAACCAACGGGGCATTGTTGTTCAGTAGCCAAGTTATGCCCAACTTTTAGTGACCCCATGGAGCATAGCATGCCAGGCCCCCCATCCTCCATTTTCTCCATGAGTCTGTCCAAATTCATGCCCACTGTGTTGATGATACTATCTAACTATTTCATCCTCTGCAGTCCCATTCTTTTTTTGTCTTCAATATTTCCCAACATCAGGGTCTTTTCCAATGAGTCCTCTCTTCTCATTTGGTGGCCAAAGTATTTGAGCTTCAGCTTCAGTAACTGTCCTTCCAGAGAACAGTCAGGGTTGATTTCCTTAAAATTGACTGATTTGATCTCCTTGCAGTCCAAGGACTCTCAAGAGTCCTCTTCAACACCACAATTTGAAAGCTTCAATTATTCAGCACTTAGCCTTCCTTATGGCCCAGCTCTCACAGCCATACATTATTACTGGGAAAACCATGCATAGCCTGTCCAATTTATTTAGCTGGCTTCCTATGAAGATTAAATGTCTTCATAATTGACTCCTTTTTTCCTCTCACAGAATTGATCCAAGGGCATAGGAATTGGATTATCTAATCAGTCCCACAGTTCACATTTTGGGATGCTCTGGATCTCCTTTGCTCTTAAGTATCTAAGGAGAAAATGTTTCTGACCTTGTGAACCCGTTCATGATCACTAACAGCATGTTTACAAACTAATTTTTCTCCAGCTTATTCACACACCCCCCAACAAATTCTGGGGTTTCAGTCCAATACAGGGGTTAATAAGAATTACAGCATAGACTCTGTGGAGAACACTCAGGCAGAAAAAAATAAAGCAAGGAAGGGAAGAAGAAACTACTTACGTTTTGCTAAGATTTTTTTCAGAATATTACATAGTTCAAAGGCTGAGATCTCAGCATCCTGGAAAAGGGTGAGATAAAGATAGCATTAAGAACACGTGAGTTAAATATTGTTTCTGAAATGAATTAAATTATTTTTTTATCAAGCTGTATTCTGCAGTGGTATTTTAGAATCTTACTTCAGCCAGATGGCCCAGACAACTGTGTATTTTTCCCAATGGAACATTCATTTACTTACCTCTCCAGCTAATTGTTTAAATAATTTCTTAAAATTGGGTTCAATTTCTTCTTCAGTAAGTTCTTTCTAGGAGAGAAAAGAATTGCCAAGGAAAGTGAAAGAAAATTTTAAAAGCTTCTGCTTATTGAAGTTGCTATTTCATAAAGAAGAAAATGTGCCCTAAATGTATTTAGCACATCTTTCATTTTGCCTCTGAGCATGCCTGTCCTTTAACATTGCGGTTTCTATGTCCTCTTGAAAGTTGAAAGTTTTATAAGTAATCTTTCACAGTGTAATACTGCAGAATTAGCTTTTATAAGCCAGAGACTAATGTGGAGTGTTTTTGGTCTTCTTCCCCATGAATCAAATGTTTTTCTGAATCCATCAACATCTATCAGAAGCAAGTGTTTCTGCAGTTTGACCAATGTTTAGAGGTACAACAAATTTGAACACAAAATGTTCACAAAGCTGCCCATCCCATCTGATATACTGATATGCCAAATATACTGAGATATAAGTCGACAAGACAAGAGATGTAAGACAACTTTCAGAATTCCCAGCCAGTATGACTAACTGGGAATCCTGGCTTATGCAGCTTGACTACAGTTAAAACAAGTATTCATATTAGCTAACATACCTCTTCAATATTGGCCTCAATTTCATCATCAACAACTCTACAAATAAACATAGTTAGATAAGTTAACACAAAAAAGATTATGATTCACTTTCAGATAGGAAGAGGAACACAACTGGGGCAGGATGAAGCTATGAATGCACCAAGCCATCTGTGGAAAAGTATTTTGAAAACTATCCACAGAAAAGGCACATACTTGTAACACTGACATTTTTGGTTATCTAAACAATCACACAGAAAAATCCTAAAACAACTAAAAAAAATAAGATGACAAAATAGAGAAAGAAACGAATGGATGAATATTCTTATGCACAGCCATGTTATGTGTAGCCACACATAACATGGACACAAGCATTTGTATACAGAAGACGTTACAGAATCTAGTGTTCAGAAATGATTACAAAAACAAAAGCATCTCTTAAACCTGGAGAACAGAGAAAGCACTAGAAAAAAGTTCAGTGTAACGGTCAGGCCTTCAAGACTCTATGTTGTACCCAGTCAAATTTATGGACTCTGTTTTTTGGCTTGGTCTACTTCAAAAGGCTAGAGTATACTCCAGAGGTGCCCTCAAATGTTGGATGCCAAGTCCCAAAAGTTGAACTAGTGAGACTGACCACCTTCCCATCTCCTCCTTGGCTTCCCAGGATGCTTTCTATTACTTTTGCCTTTTTCAGAGCAAGTGGACCTGAGAAAATGCATCACTGAATTATCGCCATGTCATATTTGACTACTTCTAGGATCTCTGTTAGACCAATAACATTGGAATACAGATCAAACTCAATGCTAATATTTTTTTCTCAAGAATGGTAGCTTCTATACTTTTGAAGCTAAAAAAATAAAACATACTAAAATATGGAAATGTATGTAAAATATAACGTTAAATAAAATTTGGCAAAACAAAGAGCATTGTGAACATTGATGGGGATCCAGGCTTCAAGTAAATAGAAAATATTATTAAAAATAGAAAAGGAAGTCCAACATTTCTAGTTATGAAAGAAATAATCAAACGACAGCAGAAGATGGTATGTTTTCTAATTTTGAAATACCTTCCTTCCAGAAATGCATCAAGTGCCCATTTCATTGGCATTTTGGCACCTGTTTTTATATCTAGGCATTATTGAGTATTCAATGTCTGTTATATTGAACATAGCTGTACCTGATGTTGCTTGTGGATTAATTTCTTTGTCTCTTAACAGGCCTTTAATTAATTTTATGATATTTTACTACTTGTGATATCATTCTTACTCATTCAGGGATTTTCATGAAGGGGAAGGACAAAATAATGCTTAGCATTTAAAAATATATATATTTCAATGAGAAGAAAGGCAGAGGGGTTATTTCACTTCAAAGATATAGTGGATCTTGATTCATTTTTTTTTACTTTGTTTTTCTCATCGTTATCAGCAATCTTCATCAGTTTTACATTCGAGATCTCTGGTGATATTCCCCTAGTCTCCGATTCACAACCAATATAAAAACAAGATAACGTAAGAAATTATAAAAAGTCTGAGCCCTATGGAAGTAAAGTTAAATATAGGCTCATTGTTAGCTTTACGGCTATGGTTCATTTCTGACACTGGCCTCAAGAATAGTTATCTTTCCTTTTAGCTTCCCCTATAGACCTTCAGCTATGGCTTTCAATACGTCTGCTCTGTTCTCTTATTTCTCAGTATTTTCATATTCATGGATTCCACTGATATAAAAGACAGATTAGTATGACGTACTGTGAGTCAGCTTTTTTTTCGGAGAAAACCCTAAGGCAGAAGTCCCCACTCTTGTTGGGTTCAAAGGTGGATGGCACAATAATATACTCTCCTGGGGGAAGCTTAAATCGATTTAACACCTCCCGAAGATTGATGAATGTGTTGGATCGTTCCCTTGCTCGGTTTGTGAGAAAGTAGTTTTTGTTCAGATGGACCTTCTTTTGGGCAGATGACTTCATGAAAGGAAAGGACAAAACAGAAATTATTATTCTTAAACCACCAGATTCCTATTCAGATGACTGTGTTAGTAGAGCAATGTAACATTAGCACATCAGAAGATGAAGCTACTGTAGCATGAAAGCTACGTTCTGTTAATTTGCGTGACAGGAAGGTTCTCCAGAATATCTACATCTATAAAAATTCAAAAGCCAAGATAGCAGTCTCCATGGCTCTGTCTGTGGGAAAAATTGCGATGGCAGTAAATTTACAGAGACTCCCACAAGTGCATTACAAAGCAAAACTAGTGTTTTAAATGCCTGCTTCTTACTTTAACCACAGATAGCTTTTCAAAACAATGCACAGGTTTTCAAAAATGAAAAGCCTCAACAACACCCCCCCCCAAACAATAGGCATTTGTCCAGTTTGAATTTCTGTTATGGATAATTGTTTACAAAAGATTATGAAGAACAATTTTTTAATTAAAACAGTACATTCAATTCCATAGCTTGAACACTGAAGGATCCCCCTTTTAGTACAATGTTTAGTTAAAAATATCTGCAAATATTTGTAAATTTTTCTGTTTGACAAAAAAAATATATATCACATACCTGTTCAGGCACCTGTGGAAAAGCAAAAAGAAAAACAAATCATACACTTTTTATTAATAATACTGAACAATGATCCTTCCCAGGAAATAGCTTCTTAGCCACTTCTCTAACCTTATGCAATAGCCTCCTTGTAGAATTAAGATAGCTCTCAATCTCTAAAAGTTACTTCAGATAGAACTCTTCCACACAGCATTTGGTGACTAATTACTTCTCGCCATTTCTAAATTTCAACTGAACTGTTGTATTTTTATTGTCTAATACTGATTACAATTTTGATTGTAATTATACTCAACATAGACATTTTTATTGGTTGTGAGGTCTTTTTTTACTAAATAACAATAAACTGGTCTATTTACTGATCTGGAGGCATACAGTTTGAATAAAGAAAGGAATTCAAACTCAAATTTTACTAGAACAGTTTATTTATTTCTTACTGGGTTCTATTCTATAGGGATCCCTAAATCCTTTGAGCCCACAAATGCATTTGGAATTTTGAAAAATACTATCATAAAAAGCAGAGTTATGATTGATTGCAAAGAATAAAATGAAGAAAATAAATAAAAAATGACTGTGAGAGATGTAAGTCCAAAATATCTAATGAAGCATAACATGCATTGATTTTACACAGGCAAAAATATAAAAGATTGAGTCTAAGAAAAGATGGATTCATCCCAAATTCTAGAATGTCCAAACTCATATAAGATTTTTCCCCTTTCTGTTTCCCAGATCTCTGTTACTCTGTATCTCACATGCATGCAAGCCTCCAACCCTTGATTTATTACTCCACTCTATTTTCTTCTTCCTCCTCTCCATAATTCTCCCCATCAGCAGAAAAAGCCAGACATAGTTAAGCCATACTCTGCTCAATGAAAGGAACTGGCCCAAGATGAGGTTTCAGAGAAAAAGTAACCCACCTAATCTCATTTGTGTTAGCTCCTGTGAGATTTCCCAAGTAGCAATCTGGCTCTCAGAATAGAAAAGATTCTCCACCCTTGTATAAATCATCATTTCATGTTTAATGAACATTTATGGTTAAAAAAAAAAGAGGTGCCATTTAATTCACTTGTGAGGATTACATGTATCTTTCATATCTTTATTGTTGCAATTCATTTATAAAATATTCCTGAATGTGTCAGTTCTGTAGTTAGAAAGAAGTGATCCATTATCTTTATTTCAAGATTTGGTTTAACAGGAAAAAAGAAAAAGAAAGCCTGCCTCATAGATTGCAAAGCCAATCGTGTGCATATCCTCTCCCATCTTCCTCTGCTTCCGACGGTGTTTCTGAATCAAACCAACCAAGAAGGTACAACCTCTTTCTGGGTCATCTGGATCCTCATCTTCTTCCTCAAGTTTAATCAAATATTGTGGGTTCATCCAAAATGTATCTGAATAAAAGAAAGGAGGCCCAGGCTATACTGATTTTCATAAGAAATTGTGGCTTGGAAAGATGCAGTTCTACATATTTTAGATTGGTGTGCCCATTTTAAGAGTGTTTATAAAAGTATACCTACAAGCAAGCTTTAGAATGATTTTCTCCCAAATCAGGGATGTGGTATCTTCTTTTAAACCATTAAATTACAATGGAAGTTGTAAATGGAAGTCATGTTTAGTAGTGGATTATAAATAAATATTGACTGATTGAATAGAAGTAATTATACACTAATTCCTGTAAATCCCAGCACTTGTTTTCTTTTTTTACAAAACAATCTCAGCAACCTGTGCCCATATGTGATATCACATTAGAACTACTCACAATTAGGGAGGGATTTATTGCACTCATTCTGGGCCTGTCATGATTTCAAACAATAGTTAGGCAACCACTTGTAAGTCAAAGATTACCTGTGGGCAATTCTATTCTTCATGGATTATTAGGAAGATACTACAGAACAGATATGGATATGAAGGCAAGCAGAGGCTGAAAAATGACTTACCAGGATAATTTCGGCATCCACCAGCCGTGGAACCTTTTCTCCAGTTTCCATCCATCAAGTTCAACTTCCATTTTTTATACTTGTCAGTGGCCAGAGTGTCTGGAGTCAAATTACAGATCTCAAGACGAGAGTAATGCCTCAAGAAATCACTAAATGACATCCTGTGGAATAATGCCATAAATATCATACTTAGAAAAGGCATTTCAGACAAGCTTTTTCCCTTCTGCTATAGCAGCTTCAACAATAATTGGTCACTGTGACAGAAGCCTCCTTGACAAGTTAACTTGTCACAGCGTCATGACTCAGGATATGTCAGATTTCGATTCTCATATTACTTTTAATTCACATTGACTGCAAATTCTAAGAGCTGAAATCCAAAGTTATCAAGAGGGCCAAAGATTGAGGAAAACTAAACTACTGTTTAGTAGTATTTCTTTCACAAAATTTCTTCTATATATTCTGATCCTTTATGGTCCCTAAATAGCGATATGGACCAGAACTTAATATGCTTATTTCCATCTGTCTAATATATACTTGTTACAGTTTGATGAAATTTAGCAATATGACAACTAATTTAAGCATTACAGATTATATACTGTCCTTCTTTCCCAATTCCCAGGAAGTCACCAGCCATACCAAAATTCTCCATCTTCCTGCTGTTGGGTCAATCTCTCTCTCACTTTTGGATCAATACCATTCCAGTTTGGACACCTAAATATAGGAAACCAACATTATTTGAAGTTTTAGACTCAGAATTATGGATAGTGATGGTATTATCTTGGAGGGCCTCAACAACTTGGCTCAAGAAAATCCAATCTCATAATGTTTGCATTTGCTGGAACAGTCTGTTTCTACCCCAAGGTACATATTCACCCCTTTCAACCTGTGAGAGGTAGCCAGAGTGGAGTGTCAACTTGTCCTGGCCAATTCACCATGGCCAATTCACTGCAGGACAACTCACTATGTTCAACTCATTGTAGGACAACCTACTGTGGGACAATTCAACAATACAATTTAATTCTTTAAAATAATTTAAAAATTATTTTAATGTTTGTCATTCACATTTTATTTTGTCCCTCCTTTGGCATCCTTTCTTTAATGATTCTATTTGATTATTTCTTCGATATTAGTGTAGGTCTTGTCCTAAAGCAAGTTGGCCACAGTGAGTAGGCCACGATGAGTTGGCTGCAGCAAGTTGGCCATGGCAAGTTGGCTGTGGCAAGTTCACTGCAGCGAGTTGTTGTTGACCTGGGCCAGGGATACCTCAGACAACAGCCATTTTTACAAGAAGCAATGGTGCTTATTTTATTATCTTTAGAAAAGCCACCACAGACAGACTTATCTAATATTTTTCAGTCCTCAATGCAGTCAGAGGAGGATGAAAAATTAAATCATTAGAGAAAGGAATTTTCCAGACCTTTCTATTTTTGGATGATATTGGTGATGAGGGAGATTAATTTCATGCAAAATAACTCAGGGATACTTTACTTAAAGATTGCTCTCAGTAACAGCTGACTGGGTTTTCAGGACATATTAGCTCCACATATGCCCAGTTAGGTTTATCAGAGGAACAATTTTGGATGATCATAATGGTCATTATATATTTTTTGTTTTGTTTTGAAAGATATAACTAAAATTGACTTGTTAAATTAATCTTAGAGATCAGTAACAAGACATGTGCAAATAAACCTGAAATATTATGCATGCAGTAAAATGCACATGTCTGTAGTACAGTTCTAGAAGTATATTATTCACAATCTGGAAAAATACAAAAGCTATATATAATAGCTAATACATAAAAGGCTTAGAAATAAAACAGAAAAGGAAGCTATAGAAAAGATGTGTATTTAGCAGTAAAAAAGGTGCATATTGTCCAAAGGAGAACAGGAAGCATTTAATTCACCCACTTTTCTGAAAACGAGAATTTTAAATTACATGTCAATGGCTTGAAAAAAAAACCTTAGCTACATAGGGAAATAGAAATAGGAAGCTATCATAGGGCCATCTTGGAACACTAACAAGAAAAGCTAAAAATAAAAGTTAAATTAAAGTTTTTAACTTTTGTTTAATAATGTTTTTGAGTCAGTAAGAGAGTAATTTGTCCACAATGGAAAAGTTAGATGGGATGTCCTTCTATTTGGCAATCTTGCCTTGAGATTTCAACTGATTATTTAAAGTGAATAACATTAATCTGAAAATGGAAAAAACACCATGCTTGAAAACTGACCTGACAGAGGTTATTTCTGTAAAAACAACCTAGGGATTTATTAAAGAATACTGTTTCCCTCAGTCTAGTGAACTGTAGACAGTACATCTAGTAAAGACCAGTTTACTCAACTCATCTAGGTGTCTCCTATTTGACATCTAAGACAAAGGGATGTCTTGCCATTGTCTCTCTTCAGAAAGTTTAATATTCACATTTTGCACAATACAGGTAGTCTTCGATTTACAACAGTTCATTTAGTGACTGTTCAAAGTTACAACGTTACTAAAAACAGTAACTTATGACCATTTTATAACCATTGCAGTCTCCCCATGGTCATGTGATCAAAATTCAGACAGCAGGCTGATAGGGATACACCCTAGCAAGATCTGCAGGGCAGTCAGGCAGGCAGGCAAAATATGTGAGATAAGTGTTGTGTAGCTTACACTCAGTAAAGCAGACACAGTGCCAATTAAAGTAGTTTTATTCCAGCAAGAGTTAAAGCATAGTCAAAACAGTCCATATATCATACACTTAGTTCAGTCCGTCCAGGGAGTATTCATTTGCAAATTCCAATGTCCAAAATGAGAGGTCAGTACACTTACAAAATAACAGTCCGGTAATTTATCTCTTCGCAGTAGAGAGATATGCAACAAACTCAGAAACTCCTCTCTTCCTTCTGCAACTCCAGTAATTGCCAGCAAAGCGTCAGGGAATCGTCAGCTTCTCGTCAGCATCTCATCAGCCTCTCTTGCTCCCTCTTATGGTGTTTTTACACCACACCCAAAATACATGCTTTGCATTTAAAGTAACACACACTTTAAACTAAGAATCATAGCTTATATATATATTATCTTACCCAAACTAGTTAGGTGACCAATGTTATACCTAACATTCTCCCCTTTTGGGTAATATAATAATATATATAGCTATTTACAATCTTAACCCATAGTCATCACAACTCTCTTTGTGTTTCACTGCACCTTGGGCCTTTGTGAATTGATCAGCAATATTTTGCTCAGTCATACAATACTCCAATCTTATTAAACCATCCTTTACAGATTGTCTTACATTCAGATATCTAAGATCTGTATGCTTAGATCTCGTTTTTACAGCAATATTTGTAGCCATCTGTATGGCTGCTTGATTGTCCTCATACACAACAATGGAATCATTAACAGTTAATCCCATATCCAACAACAACTGTTTATACAGAATTAAATCAGTACATAATAAAGATAGACATGAAAATTCTGCTTCCATTGTGGACATACTTATGTGTTGCTGTCTAATTGACCTCCAACCAATTAATGCTTTTCCTAATAGTATAGCCATTCCTGAAGTTGATTTCTTAGTGTTTATATCTGTTGCAAAACTTGCATCAGCATATGCACTTAAAATCAAATCATCTTTTGGCTCCAAATACAATGCATAGTGCATTGTCCTTTTAAGATATCTTAAGATATGTTTTGCCGCTTGCCAGTGTCGTTCATTGGGTTCAGTGTTGAATCGAGCCAATTGATTAATGCTATAGGCAATATCTGGCCTTGACCAATTACTAATGTATGATAGACTACCAATTAGCGACTGATAGATAGTCTTATCGAATTTTGAACTCTGAGCATCAGTCCGGCAAAATTCCTGACTCATTGGAGTTTTTGCTGGTTTACAAAGTTCCATCTTATATGTTTTTAGTAATTGATAAATCTTATCCTCTTGAGATATCTTATAGCCACTATTGGTTTTATTAATTGTCAATCCGAGATACTGTTTTATCTCTCCTAATTGCTTTAATTTTATCCTCTTACCTAATAATGATATTATTTCAGTTGCTTCATTATTAGTTTTTGTAATTAATGCAATATCATCTGTAAACAACAATAATAATGACACTATTCCATTTTTCTCTCTTCTAAATAAACATGGATCAGCTAAACCTGCTTTAAACCCTATATTGTTTAACTCCTTAACAATATATTGGTTCCATTCGTAACCAGATTGTTTTAATCCATAGAGACTCTTTTTAAGTTTCCAACAGTCATTATTAGTTTTATCATCCTTAATCCCTACAGGTTTCTTTAGGTATATAGTGTGCTGCAATGGTGCATGCAGATAGGCAGTTTCTACATCTAAATGATTTATGATATAGTTTTTCTTAGCTGCCCACACTAAAGCTACTCTCAAGGTTGTTGCTTTTAGACTTGGTGCAAACACTTCATCATAATCACATGCAGTTTGATTAAATCCTTGAGCTACCAACCTAGCCTTATGGGTAACAGTCCCATTTGTACCTGTTTTTAATTTAAATATCCATTTACAGCCAATGGACTTTTCACCTGGAGGTAATCTAGCATTCTCATAGACTCCCATCTGTTTTAATGAATTCAGTTCCTTTTGAATTGCTGTATGCCAGTTCTCCTGATCCTTTGCAGGATACAATTTCAATTCTTCCACAGTGGTTGGAATTTTGCTAATCTGGCACACACTTGCCTGATACCTATCAGGTGGTCTACTCACTCGTGTTGACCTTCTAGGTAGAACAGGACTCACAGGTGGACTCTTATCTATCACCTGTTCCTGGTCATCTATTTCTTCTTCACTTATTTCTTCTTTAATTGGTTCTATTTTCACTTCCTTTACTTTCTCTTCAATTGGACTTTTATCATCACTAGTATGGTGGCTCAGGCCCTTGTAGGTTTCTATGATTACACTCCCATTCGAATCGTGTTCCAATTTGTGCCATCCCACATGTTCCAGGAATTGAGCACTAGCACTACAATAAATTTTAGTTGTGCCCTCTTCCCAGAACCTGTAAGATCTATGGTTAGATTCGTAACCTACAAAATATAATCGTTTAGCCCTATGCTATCCCTTATGTCTCAGTTGTGTGGGAATATGCACCCATGCTGGTGCACCAAATGTGTGCATATAACTTAGGTCAGGTTTTCTACCATGCCACCGTGTGAATGGTAATTCACCTGTTGTTGAGTTAACAACATTATTCAATATATGATTACCACACATTGTTGCTTCTCCCCACAAATTCTCAGGTAATCCTGAATCCGACAACATAGTACGAGCCATTGCCTGCATTGTTTGGCCTCGCCTTTCTATAAAGGAATTATGTTGTGGCCTATATGGTGCAGACCTTTTATGTTCTACACCTGCCATCTTCAGTCTATTTTGGAATTTATTATTTATAAATTCCGTACCATTATCAGTTACAAGAGTTACTAGTTTCCTTTTAGTTTTTCTCTCTGCAAACTTCAACCAATTAAAGAAATTTTGATATGTTTCCGTTTTACTCTTCATTAAATAACAGAAACCATATCTAGAATAATGATCCATTATACTTAATATATAACGAGCACCTCCCACACTTGGTTTTTTAGGACCTATAATATCAGCAAATACGACCTCTAGAGGCTCCTTAGTCTTAAATCCATTAACTCTATTTGCTGGTATTACATTGCTTTTTTCTTGACTGCAAGCATTGCAGTGCAAATACTTACTGCAAGGCTTCAGTTTTATACCTTTAGACAGTTCAACAGTTTGCTTGAGCATTTTAAAATTTATATGCCCTAAACGTCTGTGTAACAAATGTACGCATTCATCATGAGGCTTAACGTTATTATACACTGTGTTAGCCACCTCTAATTGATTATCATTTAACACATACAATTCACCTTTTAAAGTTGCAGTCACTTTTTTACCTTCCTTTTCTATTATGCAGTTTTCTCCCCTAAAGGTAACTACATAACCTAGTTTAATCAAAACTCTAACTGAAAGCAAATTAAACTTAAGTTGTGGTACATATAACATTTTTACATTTTCTTTTATGCAAGGACAATATGCAGTACCTTCAGCTTTTGCTTTAAGTCTCCAGCCATTCGCTAATGATATCTGCTGTGAACTCGTGGACATCTTAATAAATCTTTTCTTATCTTTTGTTATGCAGTGCGATGCTCCACTATCTACAACCCAAAAATTATTATTGTTCACAGTTTGGTTGCTATACATGGCTAACTCTAAGCATTTTTTATCCTTTTGATGCCTTTTAGCATTCTTGCTGGCATTTTGGCTTTTTTCTTTCTTGCAGAATCTAGCCAAATGTCCTTTTCTTCCACAATTAAAACATTTTCTAATTGTGTAGGCTGACGAAGATAATTCCTCTTCTTGTGGCTGTTCCCTTCTGAGTTGATCCCTTTCAAGCCTTCTCCTGGCTTCTTCAATTAATCTGCCAGTAATGTCAGTTAATGTGAGGTTATCCTTTGGCAGCACTTCCAATGAAGTTACATAATCGTCATAACTCTGATCCAATGAAGACAAAATTATATAAACCTGATGCAGTTCAGTGAAGATAAGCTCTTTTTCATGCAGCTCTTGAAAAATTCTCTTCATAGTGTTTATATGAGTCAACATGTCTCCATTCTTTTGAAGATGTGTTCTGAACAGCTTCCATGTAAGATTTATATGAGCTCCTACACTGTCTCGAACATAAATCTTCTTTAAATTCTCCCAGCACTTAGCAGCTGTTTCTTCTCCACGAATATGGACAAGCTGCTGGTCACTGAGTGTCAGTCCTATTATACAGAGAGCTTGTTCATTTTTCAGTTTCCATTCTTGTAACTTCTGGGCATCATTTTCATCCTCTGGATCCCAAGCATCTACCTCTGGTGGGTTTTGAATTATATTCCACAAACCTTCTCTGCGTAGAAGTAGGCTGCATTTCATAGACTATGAAACATAGTTTGTTCCATCCAGTTTGGATATTAGAGACAAACTTGGTAAATTGACTTCTGCCATCTTTCTCTGGATATTAAACTATAATTAAACACAGCTGTCTGTTTACAGTATTGTGTAACTACACTAACTCTCACTTTATATAAGCCTGTTATATCCTGGTTAGACTGACTGTGCAGCTGGGCCCATAACCAGTGATAGGGATACACCCTAGCAAGATCTGCAGGGCAGTCAGGCAGGCAGGCAAAATATGTGAGATAAGTGTTGTGTAGCTTACACTCAGTAAAGCAGACACAGTGCCAATTAAAGTAGTTTTATTCCAGCAAGAGTTAAAGCATAGTCAAAACAGTCCATATATCATACACTTAGTTCAGTCCGTCCAGGGAGTATTCATATGCAAATTCCAATGTCCAAAATGAGAGGTCAGTACACTTACAAAATAACAGTCCGGTAATTTATCTCTTCGCAGTAGAGAGATATGCAACAAACTCAGAAACTCCTCTCTTCCTTCTGCAACTCCAGTAATTGCCAGCAAAGCGTCAGGGAATCGTCAGCTTCTCGTCAGCATCTCATCAGCGTCTCTTGCTCCCTCTTATGGTGTTTTTACACCACACCCAAAATACATGCTTTGCATTTAAAGTAACACACACTTTAAACTAAGAATCATAGCTTATATATATATTATCTTACCCAAACTAGTTAGGTGACCAATGTTATACTCATATTTATATTCATATACTCATCATATACTCATATTTAACTCATATTTATGACGGTTGCAGTGTCCCGGGATCATGTGTTCAGTTTTTGTGACCTTTGGACAAGCAAAGTGAATGGGGAAGCCAGATTCACTTAACAACCCTGTTGCTAATTTAACAACTGCAGTGATTAACTTAACAACTGTGGGAAGAAATATTGTAAAATGGGGCAAAAGTCACTTAACAAATGTCCTGCTTAGCAACATAAATTTGGGGCTCAATTGTGGTCGTATGTCGAAAACTACCTGTGCAATACTTTATTTAATGTACGTGCTGATGCACCAAATGTACCTGCTAGATTCCCCCCCACACACACACCCTTCACTAAAGCCAACAGAAATTTCCCATAACTTTGGCAGGTGATGGAAGGAGCAACTAGACAGGCAGTAAATAATGCAACCATGCTTAGGCCCAAAGCTGTAGGAGCAGCAGTTATGATAGGAAAGTAAAAGAGCATCTTTCCCACATAGCTAGCTGGAGGGGGCTGGTATTAAAAGCTGAAGAAACCCACAACTTTTTATGAATGAGGATTATGTACCTCACCAAAAGAGAAGGTATCTCATTAAAGTGCTATAGAAAACACAAGGAATTTGGGTCATTAGTTTCCAACATGCTTTCAAGGAAACCAACTATTTAAAGTTTAATCATTCATGATGCAAAATGTCATGTGAAACATTCGCTCACACTAGACAGCAAATAGCTCTGGCCTTCAAGTTTAACACTCACTTATCATTCCATTTTCCAGTCCATTCAACTTCTCCCCAGGGATTTCGGATCCGGATCAGTTTCTGAATGCTGCCTCGGAAATTCACCTGGTAGGGCCAGAAGAAGAAAAAAATCAGGTTACTAATAGATGGAGTAACTGAAAAAAGAAACAATGTACCTTAAAATGTTTTTGGCTACAAACACACCCACATACATGCACATAAATTTATTTATATACAATATATATTTTTATGACAGTGAAATAAATTGCTCTCTAGTGGGAGAGGGGACAATTATAATTTCTCATGCAATTATTGGCAAAGAAGCTAAATGTGAAGTGGCTTGTTTATTGGTAGTGTGTGTATAGGCATCCGTGGGGATAGGCAAGGAAAGAAAGGATGATACATGAATCAGTGTCATTACACAAATAACACAAGACTGTGTGAGACATCATGATGCAAATTACACAAATCATACGAAAATACCTTCAGGTTAAACGATGTAGCGACAAGAGAAAAGAACACTCAACCATCTCACAGAACAACAATTTCAACGAAGGAAATATCAGAGAACTAGGCACAAAATTGGTTCTTAGGAATATAATATCATGGCCTCTGTAACTACCATATTATTTGGAATAGTTCCCTTCCTGAGATTCAAGTATGAATCAAGTATGTAATACAACCTCTCATTTTCCCCTTTTCCAAAATGAAGATGTTACCTCTTCAGCTCCTGTGACAGAGTATGCATGTCCTTTGACCAGCTTCTGGGTTGTGACTGCCTCAGTCTCAGCAGCATTTGTGATCTAGAAACATGAAGAAATTAAGTTTTGCTTACCTCTTGAATACTGAGACAGCAATAGGACAGATCTTAACTGAGTAATGCTATGGGTACAGAATCAACTAGAAAAAGGTTTAGCTTTACAATAGCTAGTAGTCTTGATGAGTGATGGAGATGTCTGGGTCAGAAGCAGAAATGGGTTGCCACACCATGCTAATCCATAATGTGGTTTGTTGGTTGGATGGTTAGTTTGATTGACTGGTTAGTTGGATTAAGATACTCTCAGAACTTACTATTTAGTTTTATAAACCATGGTGAAAATTCATGCCATATATATATTCAGTCTGCTGTGATTTATTTGGTAAATCATAATTAAAATGGCTTAGCACAGCATCAGACTGGACATGGTGGTACAAGTAGTCTTAATAACCATTCATTATCCCCCACCATCTATTTCCTCCCCACCCCCATCTCTGCCTTTTTTGTCATCTGCCACCCTGAATGTTTGTCATGTGTTTGAAAAAATACCCTATCAGGACTAGAGCCATCTGTATATTTCATTAAAACTTTATTGGAGAGGGGCCAGCCTATTAAGTTCAAGGCTGAAACTCATGCAATTAGCATTAACTTTGGCAGCAAGAAAACAACATTCCTATTTTCTTTCCTATTTGTTGAGACAAAGTATACTGAACAGGATGTTTTAATTGGGGCAAGGGAAATTTCCAGCTCAGTTTCTATTCCTATTTCTATTCCAAGAAGTTTTTAATATATATCTGCTCTAATCACATGGACAGCCAGAAGGGCCACAACAATCCAGCAAAGACAAGCTCTCATCAGCCAGCCAATTCTTTCCCTGTGTCACAGTTGGCTCACACCCTAGTTTATTTTCCCAAACTTGGTTTCAGTTCTAAAAACTATCTTTCCTTGTAGGAAAGCTGCTGCGAATAGTATGTGGGTAGAAAATGTGGCCCAGAGTTGGTGGGGATTCAGCACTGTTTTCATTTTTTGTATTCCTCCTACATTTTAAAATGAAACTCTGGTAGAATTTACCTGTGATGGCTAACTCTCTATTTAGAGACAGGTTTTCAGATCTGACATTATCACAGCTGGAAAGGTTGGCAGCTGAATTAAAGCAGTCACTGGCTGAGTTCATACATAATCGCAATATGTTGGGTGAACCCAGCAAGTGTGGCTTGTAAACCATGATTTAGAGCTTAGCAAATTGTATGGATTCTCTTAGATAACTTTATAATTAAGATAAAATTTAGAGAGTAGTGAGAGGCTCATTGGATAACACTAGAGACAACACTAGAGAAATATACATAGACAATAAATAATTCCTTGGTAATTTGCCCTTAATATTGAGGAAGTCTCCTTAGTAGTCGAAGCTTCACCATTTGGTCTGATTCTGGAGGCAATTACTGTATACTGAGAAATCCAAATGAAGAGTCATCACTGCCACTTTACTATATAAGAAAACCTTGCAGAGAATATCTATATATGCTTCACAGCTTACAAAGAGCCAGGATTGGCAGGAGAGACCACAGTTATATTTGGAACTCATCAAAAGACCTCTTTTGCATTACCTCAAATAATTTTCTGCCACACTATCAGGGTTTTCTAATCTGTTTGGATTCAGAGTGTTTTCAAAAGAGGAAAAAAAATCTGAAAGTTCATACCAGAAAGATTAAATACTGGCAGAGGAACAGTCTAACAATATTCCCTATTTGGAGGGGATTATTTGGAGTATTTTAATCTTTGCTCAGAATCTGCTACTGAGTCGGTTGCTTTACTTTACTGTATTATCTGCTTCTTATCAGCTAAGCTGGTTGCCTAGAAATTAAAATTTCACACTTTTTATTTTCAAACTTTTCAGTAAAGATTTCCACGCATGTTGCCTAGTTCTGGTCAATCACTGTAGCTACTAGAAGGTTTGAGGCTTAGTGTTTATTTAAGAGGATCTCCAGATCTGCAGAAAGATGGCTAGACACTAGTAGCAGCAGCTAATTCCTCATCTGTAACCTTCATCAACTCATATATGTATTTGCTGCAAGAGAGGCTAAGCAGCATAGGAATGATAGGGGAAAATACAGCACTTTCATGCTTCTAGCCCAACACATTTGGCCTTTTCTTGCTTTTTAGTAGACAAAGTTGGTCCACTTCAAAGCTGTACCTCCATTCTTAAAAAAAGGAAGAATTATGGATTTTCTAGCTTTTGAGTATGATTTCTGTTCTAGCAAGAAATTTAAAATTCTGCGCTATCATGCAATTATCAATTATATCAGCTAAATGATTCCTTTGCAAGAACTTTAAGAATATAGTATTAACATACATCAATAGAACATCCAAGGAGAGAACCTTTCTGGAGAGCTTTCTGGATTATTTTGAACAGGTTTGGTGGTGCTTTCTGGAGCTCATACCACTCTGCAATTCCACCAGTGAAGTCTTCAAAGCCCTCAGTAGTGCTCCCCCCTGAAAGACTTTCATAGGAGCCATTCACCCTGTGAAAGATACAACCCAAACTTTTAATATTTAATAACTTTGAAATCCATTCTTAACAGAGATGGAACTCCATTCTTAGATGTCTACACTGTCTCTTTTTTCATTCAAGAGAGATTAAACATCAACATATGACTCTATCACAACGAGTTATTTCTCCCTTGGCCTGTTATCCATCATTATGCCATATTAAACTATGTATATAGTTTATGCTTATGTAAACTATCCATATGTAAACTATGCCCTGATGTTATGGTTATGGCTTTACATTACTCTTGTTTTGGCTCTAAACAAATGTCATGGTTTGTGAAAGTTAGAAATGAAGGTTTTATGAGGAATATGGGCAAATATCTTTTTTATAATTTTCCTAAACATAAGCCCTTCCAAATAATTTCTGAGCTGATAATTGTAGCACAAATGATAGAGAAGTGGGAACCATATTTTGGTTCATATATTAATCCAAAAAATACAAATTAACAGGGAGATAATTAACTCCTTCCTTCCCTTTCTTTCTTGCTTGCTTGCTAGATAGGTCACAGATATAAAGAAGCAACATACAAAATAAATAAATTTTGTATAAATAAAATTATCCAACTTAATCCTCTTCTTGCAGCTATTATTAAAAAAAAAAAAAACAGAAAAACACATTGTGAAAAAGAATTGCTGCTATACTGCACTTAATTTTCTCTCTCTTTTTCTTTCTTTCATGCAGCCATTCTTACTTACATACGTCTATAAGTCGAGGGAAAAGATGAATGGATACATTGCTTTTATTACTATCTTAAAATGTGTTATTAGTATCATTCTATAGGAGAGTTGCAAAATGTTATTAGGAGAAACAATAGAAAGCTACCAAAACATTAAAAATATGGGAGGAGTGTTTAGAAATACAATTGTGTGTGCAAGGATTATGAACCCTTTTTAGTATTTCTGTTAGAAGAAATTTCTAGACTCTGAATTTTTTCATTCTAAGTTTGTTATTTTCAGCTAGGTTCAAGATACTAGATATGGGGTTCAAACTTGTTAAATAGTTCTTCAGAGTCATACACCTGTCCACCATATCATACCCTAACTTTGCGTTTCACTTTTGGGAAACAAACTCAGTATAAAATAAGACTTCTAAAGTTTGCATAAAGCAGCAAAATGTTCTTGATCTTCATTTACTTAGCATAGGCCTTCTCCAGCAGGGCACTCCAGAATTCATTTCTCTCTGCTGAGTGAACAAAAAGTAGTTCTCCATTTTTGGTTGGCAATCGATCATCAACAACAACATCTGTCCACTCTCCATACTGCCAAAACTGAAAGGGGAAAGAAAACAACCCAATCAAGGCCCAATGACATGAGCTATAGCCATACTCTAGATCAACAATGCTGATTGGAAATTCTGGAGGCTGGGAAGATTCCTTTGGCAAGGAACATGGTGTGACTATCATTAAGTGTTGTACCTTATGATTCTTGATGAATGTATCTTTTCTTTTATGTATACCGAGAGCATTTGCACCAAGACAAATTCCTTGTGTGTCCAACCACACTTGGCCAATAAAGAATTCTATTCTATTCTACTCTAGAACAACTGGAATATATAATTATAGAACTGTGGAGCTGGAAAGAACTACAAGCATGATCTAGTTAAGTCATTCATGGGATGTAGCTGTCCATGCTTTTCTTAAAACCTCTAGATGGAGAACCCACATTCTCTCATAATTATTCTACTGTTGACAGATTCTACCATGTATGTTTTTCTTTATGCTTGCTATTACTATAATTTCGTTGTGTATATTAAGATAGTGATTTTTGTATCAAATCTGAATTAATTTCATTTATGTTATACTACTCCAAAACTTCAAACCAGTTTTGCTGATCAACATCATGGCTCCAGCTCGTATCATAAGCCTTGACTAAATATTTATACATACATATCTATCATGCTAGTTCTATTTAGGCTACATTTTGCAAAACATTATATTGATGTATACTTTTACAACATTTTTTTTTAGAATTTACCCTCTTCTTCCACCTCATGTCTTCAACATTTCCAGAAAATTTATATTTCATTGGTATTTGTAAGTGGGGAATTGCTTGAAAAGCACTGCTGAGAAAGTGTTATGAAAGCACCATGACATTCCTGGGGACAAATTATATCTAGTAAACTTTGCCCCAGTGAGACAGCAGAAAAGATTCCTTGATACCTGGAAATGGAAGATTCCTGCATAACTGTCTTGGAAACTTTGATCACTGGGAACCACCCGGGCCAAAATTTCTTCATTCAAAGTGAGAGAAGCAATGGCTGCTAGAAGCCAACAGTCTCCTAAAAAAACAAAATCAAATCAAATGCTACTTTAAGGCAGAGAACAAACTTTAGCAAATTTGAGTCTCATGGGCCAATCCAGATTAAACATTTCATTTAAAATAAGAAGAAACCAAAATAGAATATATTGATTTGCAGATCAACAGGGTATGACAACATCAGCTGCCCAAATTGTGTAACAGAACTACACAAAGTCTGAAAGGATTCTGAATACATTTTTGTTCAGAGGAACAATGAGCCCCATTCAGTTCCAGTAGTCAAAACAAATAATGCTTCAGTACCACGTCTTTTGCCCTTGGCTCCATTGGAATACATTGGGATTTCCAGCTGACTTGTTCTACCAATGCTAGATAAAGACTGCCACTGCTATGTGTGTGGGAACAAACACTATATCCAAATATGCTCTCTCTGAATAGGAAAAGCTTCAGAAATATCTCCCCAAATTACTGAAAACAGCAGATACCTCACTCCCACCCTTCACTCCTAAAATTACCTAATAGGGATTGTGCAGGCAACAACAATCCCAAAGAAAACCAACAACCTTCTAGCTAAACCAGCAACATTCTAGTTCCCCACCCCACCCAATACAATTCTGCTTTGATCATAAGCATGCTACTCCTATACATGCATTCCTTTCCCATAAATGTTTTTGGGATTGGACAGTTCACTTTGCCTTCTTCAGTTCAACCAGTCACACATAACAGACGTCTTTGATTTTATGTTTAATGCAAGCTGATCATCATGGCAGGCACTGAATGTTGATTGTGCTTCAGAGGTTGGAATAGTCTGTATCCAGAAATAAACAAGTAACAATACTGATTTGTTTTCTCCTCTGGTAAAGACATCTTTAAGAATAGCTACCGTAACAATTTTGCCTGAAATAACTAACAACTTTCAAGTTCCAGTTTGGATAACATTTTGCCTCACACCTGGGGTACAGGCAGTAAGCAATTGAGTTAAAATGAATATAATATTACTTTGGGATTACAGAATAAATCAATTCATTGTTTTTGCACAAGCACAAATGTGCTAATTAAAATGTGGACATATTATGCAAAGACCCTGAGAAAGGTGCAAACAGAAAAAGTAAATAGAAAAAGAGGATAACGTAGGAAAAGGAGTGGCAGAACCTGGGGGTGGAGTCAAAAGAGTATTGTTCGGTGAGTAGATTCCTGCATGAGCAATAAATCAGTTTAATTGGAACGTCATGTCTTTTATGCCAAATGGTTAACCAACATGCATTGTTAGAAGATGTAAAGCACAGATGTCAAACTGGCGGCCTTTGGGCCGGATGTATCACGCACAGGCCATGCCCACCCCAACTCCATGAAGGGGAAAAAACGTCATGTTGCATCAAGTGACAGCAACATGACACGGCGAGTTTGACACCCATGATGTAAAGGGGCTGGGGGCTGATCATCCTGGAGAAAGTATATCTAAATGGTTGCTAAGAGTCAACATTGACTTGATGGTACATAACTAATCAACTGTACTTTAATATAGGTTCTGTTCTCAAAAACTGTTGGTATAAGTTTCATCTCCTTGCTCACATTTGATGATGATGTTATCCATTCAGTTGAGTTTGACTCCTGGTGATTCTATGGGTCAAGTCTCTCCATATCTTATGATCTTGCACTATTTCTTTGCCTTTTTCTATGCTCTGCCTGATGTCAGCTTTGAAAGTGTCAGCCCATGTGTTCTTTGATGGCCTAGTTTCCTTTTAACACTAATTCTTTGGTAGGGAGACCAAATGAGGACCAAAGAGAAGTTGTATCACACTACTGTTAGATGACAAGCTCCAATAGCTGACTAATTCAAAATCGAAGAATGATATAGATTTCAGAAAGGTATTATTATTACATTAATTGTCAGCATACAACATGTATACAATGAGATTGGCTTTAATATCTTTAATACTAGGGATAAAAACAACCTCAAAGACTGTTCAAGACTTGGTAAGTTCCCAGGCAAACAAGACAATTAAGGCAGAGGCTCTTTGAAACATTTCCTTCCCGCTGACCTACCTTCTGAACCCACTGAAATTCTCCTCCATCTAATTCCCATAGTCTCTCACAGTAGCACAAGCTTCCTATTGCTTAGCTCTCCTTAAAAAAGGAAAAAAGAATCAGCGTGTGTTCTGGCTCAGGATCTTGCTGATACTCCAGCAACATTTGGAGAATAAGGGCAGCTAAATAAATGGCTATGTTGCTGCCAGTATGCTGTTGGTGCAATATTTCTGTTTATCCCTACTCCCTTGTGTTCTCATTTGATTTCTTGGCTGGAAGCACTTGATCTAGATTAGCACAATTTATCTTAGATGTGCTTTCTGCTTTGTCTTCCTTTGCCATGCCTTCTGGTCAGCTATTCAATTTTTCTGGGAAGATATAACAGGGAATTGGGACAAAATATTCAGCGATACTTGGGAAATGGGAAATACTTGAATACCTTAACTCAATAATATAGATTATTGGTACTATTTATTTATTTGACTCCTCTGCTGCTGCAATCAAATGACGTTTGTATTTTTTTTTGCAAGGTCCATATATTTCTTTTGGTACTAATGAAAAGAACCAAAAGATAAAGGTCAATTAGCCTAAGAATTTTTTTTATTTCAGCATCATTTTCTTGGTGATATTTATATGAAAAAGAACTAGGCCTTTTAGTCCATCTACAAGATTCTTTTTCCAACCATTATTTTAGCAGCAAGCACTCTGAAGCAATGGCTTGTATCTCCCAGGCTGCTATAATATCATAGGAATCAAGGTTGAATGTCCAAGTAAGCTAGTGTAGGTAATCAAAAGAAAACCTTATGGGTCTGAGAGAGATAGAACCCAGTAAGAATAACCAGTAGCTTTTGAGCTTTGTCAGTGTAGAAGAAGCATCTTCTCACCTACAATTCAGCTTCGTTAAACTCTTCTTGACATTAGAAAACTGGTAAAGATTTCGTTGTCCAGTCATGTCAAACTCTAGGTTGAAGTGCTCATCTCCATTTCTTTGCCAAGGAAACCAGTGTTGTCTGAAGACATCTTTTGTAGTCATGTGACCAGAATGGCTATACGCCAAAGGTGCACAGAACACTCCAGATGTTCCATACCACCAGAGCAAACTGGTGGTAGGCCTTCACTTTCCAAAGAGTCGCTCTCTCTCTGTCTGCAAAGAGAACTGCTCAAAACCTTAGTCTCCTCCCACTGTAAAGATTTAGGATTCATACAGCTTGGTTTTAAAGAATTCTCTATTTATTCCTTAGTATATTTGAGAAGGGTTTTGTCTCAAAACTATAATATAGCTAAATGTCTATGTTATTGCTGCACAGTTGCATATAATCATGAAGTTTAGTGCATTGGATATAATGAATCACTGAAGAAAAAGGAAGGAAATTAATGGTGTTTTCATAGAGAAACCATATTTAGTATTTATACATTTTTCAAAAGATGTTGCCATGGCATCACATCAATGACCTTTAAATAGTTTCCCTCTGAGTGGGAGGGGGCAGGTGTCTCCTCCGTTAAAAAGCATATTTGCATAAGAAAAAGATTTTTTTTCTGTAATGGTGTCATGCCACCATGCTGTGAGGATTCTTTGTTTTATTCACTAAAACTGTCTGTAGAGGGAGTAGGATTTTTAGTGGGGGCGGGGAGGGGAAACGACAATTTGATAGCATCATGATAGTATGCAATGAACGTATCTGTTTCTTTCCCTCTCTCTCTTTCTTTTTCTGCTATAGCCTTTGAAATTTAACAAGTTGAAGCAATAAAAATATTCTAAACTGTCTCCACAGATTTATCTATTCTATTGCCAAAATAACTGGCTTTAATATTAGTAGGAAATGCTGCACAGGACATAGGAACAACTAAGACTATTAATCTACAGACTATAAACCTTTCTCCATCTTACTTAAAAGCATCATGTGGAAGCCTTAATTGACTAAAACCATGATGAACAGTCTCTTTCTCTCAGCCTAACACACACCATTATTTAAATATTCAAATTTAATAAACAACAAACAAACAAATAAATATTACGGAAGTGCATGCAGTTAGGCTAATGGAATGTATCAAACAGGATGCTTGGCAGAATAACGAACTGAAAGAGAGTGTGGATGAGGGAAAAAGTCCTTGACTTATAACAGTCCATTTAGTGACTGTTCAAAGTTATAAAAGTGCTATGAAAAAAGTAACATCTTACTGTTTTTCAGTTACAACTTTTGCAGCATCCCCACAATTACGTGATCAAAATTCAGATGCTTGGCAACTGAATCATATTTATGACAGTTGCTGTGCCCCAGGGTCATGTGATCACCTTTTGCCCCCTTCTGCCAAACAAAGTCAATGAGGAAGCCAGATTCACTTAACAACCAGGTTACTAACTTATCAGTTACAGTATCTCACTTAACAACTGTGACAAGAAATGTCATAAAATGGGGCAAAGTTCACTTAACAAATTCTCACTTAACAGAAATGTTTGACTCAATTTGGGCCGTAAGTCGAGGATTACCTGTATTGCTGCAAAAATAATGAAAGATATTAGAATCATAAAGTTAAATATCTGAGTTACCTCAGAGATCATACAGTCCAACCTCTTGAGCAGTACAGGATCCGTGATTAGAACATCTCTGACAGATGAATTGGTTTGGAGATCATTAATAAAGGAGAATTTATCACTGATTTGCAGCAACTGTCAGATCAACTGTACGATGTAATGAGAAGCAGCATGTATCTGAAAACTGATATATCTAATCCGCAAAAACTGGTGTTTGACAGTGGAAATGGAGTGAATGTTTGCAAATTATATATAAATGGTAAAAAAAAATTTCAGCAAATAGAGGAATTGGTGCACAATGTGCAAATGCTGACAGGCAGTAAGGAGCATGTGGTTTGTTGCCAGGACAATCTGCTGGAAGAAGCAAAAATGGCTGAGTATGCTTATATGGAACAAGTGGAGGGTGTAAATACAAGTGAAAATGAGGTACTAAAAACATATGTGGTAAACCAAGAAAAAATCACATCAAGAATGAATGTGTGCTAAATGAAAGCGGACTGAGTAAAATTTTTTAAAAAATAGCACAAAACAAATACATCAAGACTATTTCATTATATAGAGAATAAATGAGAATCAAATTGCAAAACAAACATAAGAAGAGTGAATTGGTTGAGAGAAAGGGGAAGACTAAAGACCTTATGGTTGGATGTTGAATGGGCGTTGGTAAATTTACCTGTGAACGCCCTTTCTATCTATGCTGCGAGAGAGCCCAGGATGGGTAGACTCCTTCTTATGACATCATTAAGTTGGGTCTGTACTTGTATATATAAAAAGCCAGCCCCCAGGAGAATCCCCAGCTTTGGCGAAGATATTTGACAGTCTGAAGAAGTGTTTCTGAAAGCAAACAATCCAATACATTAACATGCCTTACCATCTCTGGACGAACGAAGGGAGGAGCTGGGCTCTCTCGCAGCAAAGATAGAAAGGGCGTTCACAGGTAAATTTACCAACGCCCATTCTCCTCCATGCTGCAGCAAGAGCCCAGGATGGGACATACCAAAGCTTGCATGTCCACAGGCGGGTCCTTGTCTGGCCAATCACTCCGATGGTGGAACCACTCACTGAAAAACCCATTTGCCGAAGGCCGCCGTCGCCGAGGCAAAGGAATCCAGACGATAGTGTCTGATGAAGGGAGTCAGGGATGTCCACATGGCCACTCTGCAAATCTCTTCCAAGGATGCCTGGGTGACCCAAGCGGCTGAAGTGGCTGCACTTCTGGTAGAGTGTGTCGTTAGACCACGGGGTACCAGAAGAGCCACCGCTTTCTAGGCTTGTGCGATGCACATCCTGACCCACCTGCTAATAGTAGGGGAAGAAGCCTTGCTCCCCAAGTGAGAAGGTGAAAAGGAGAAAAACATGGCTTCTGTCTTTCTAAAAGGGGAAGTGCGCTTGATGTAAATTCTAAGAGCCCTTCTGACATCTAGAGTATGCCACTTGCGCTCTAAATCATGGTGTGGAAGGGGACAGAAGACAGGTAACACATTGTCTTGGGACCGGTGGATGCACCCTACATCATCACAATCTTGACATTTCCATAAGAAAAAGAAAGATTGCCTTTGATAGGATTGGCATAATATGCATGTTTGTTTGTGTAGCATACTGCACAATGCTTCATATCCAGCATCCCTATATAGTGCCTAAGCACCTGGGTCTTGAAGACAGAACTGATCTTCATAATTTCCTCTTATAGAAGTACGTCCAATTAGTTGATGTTATTCAAAAATCAAAAGGAATCTGGTAGCACCTTTTTCAGATAGACTGTTTTATTAAAAGGTAGTCTTTTGTGAACTGCAGCTCACTTCATCAGATGACTCACAACTGCAAACTTAGAAAACTTGGCTGGAATAGGAAGCTAGTGAATTTCCACACCTCAATAAGAAGCCATTGAGATGATGATGGATCTTTGAGGAATTTGTTAATTCAGAATACTCAAAGCAGGTTTTCAGCGATTAAAATCATTATTTTTTTAAGTTCTAACATATAGAAATATATATGGAAATCCTTATAATTTTCATGGATTCTAAGACAGAGAATCCTTATCTTACATTTCTTAAGTAAACATATTGGATAATATGATTTTTATATCCTCAATTAAACTAAGATGGATAGTTTGCAATCCAGCTTGTTGTGGAAGTCCTGCTATATTTGTTAAAACTTTCTAAAACAAAAAGAGGAAATCAGGCAACAGTCATCCCAGAAGTTGGCTTAACTGAATTTTCCTCATTCACAAATATTACCCTCAGCAACTGCCCTGTGGGAATATTTTAAATTGCAAATTAAATACTATGCAGATGTTACGCATACATACATACCTGTTGTGGCTCCGAGTCCTGAGCCTGCATTCTTAGAGGAAGAGGATTCGGAATATGAGGAGGTATTGGGAATGCCTTCCTCCCCAGGACCTTCCTCTTCGGCAATGCCTTCCTCCCTAATTGTGCCTCAGGTGTCGGCAGATAACCGAGAGGAACAGCCTGAGGCTAATCAGGAGAAGGAGGAGGGCATGTTGGAGCAGCCTTTGACAGGGGATCAAGCAGATGAATGCTGGCTTGATGTGAGGCAGTGTCGCAGGCAAAAGTGTAGGCTGCAGCGCAGGAGGCGTGGACGAATGAGAGAGTGAGTTGAATTAGTGACATGCCCCACAGGGAATAAAAGTGGGTGTGTTTGCTCTAGGAACTTCGTTCGGGACAACGTGTGATTTATTCAGAGGAGCTCCGGTGTATTCTGTGTTGTGACAGCTTGTGTGATTTATATTCCTGTTATCTTGTCGGACTTGGCAGACAGCGTGAGTGAGACTGCCAAGAACATTATCGGCTCAAGGAATTAACTCTATAATTACTGGATTTGCTTGCCTGTTTGTATTCAGTTTGGAGTTTGGACTTCTCACCTCCTTTGTAAAGGTGAGACATAACACAAATTATTCATACACTGGCAAACAATGCTAGGGAAAGTATGAAAGAAGAGAAAAATTACAATTGGAAATTGGAGGATAATCCCACGGATACCATGTTGATTAAAAAAATTATGGATTATGTGGAAAAGAATATGCTTATAATGGAGTTACAAGTGAAAGAAAAAAAAGAAAGTATAGTGTTCGTCTGACGAACACTATACAGAAGCCTGATGATGGCAGATGAGATTTTGCCAAAACGTTGCTACAACTTTAAAAGCACAACTATAATGACGTGGGAAAATACCCGAACAAAGCTGAATACCATAAATATAAATAATGTAGATATGTAGATATGAATAAGGGAAGATGGGGAAAACCGATGCTACGACAAATTGCAAAAATTATAAACATGATTTGTGTTTTTTTTTTAATTTTGTAAAACTTTAATAAGAATTATTTTTTAAAAAAAGCACTGAAGAACTTGGATTGCATGCAGCACAGAAAAGAAGACATCAGGTTCTGAAATGGCATTTTCAGCAATGCAGACATAATGCTAAGGATACTTGAAGAAGAAAGTAAGAATCACATCTCACCTAAAGCCCCTTGGCAGATATCAGTCCGGGTGGCACCTCCAATAATAAACTGAGGTTTGGAACACAATTCCTGGCAAAATAAAGAATAAAAGAAAACTTTTAGAGCTATGTTTTAAGGATAAGATTAATAATTAGATAGAGGATTGTTTGGGAATTCCAAACAATTGCTAGCCTGGAGAGTTGACAAAAACATCTCAAAGAAGACATAACTTCCACAACATTGCCAACAATCTTATTTGGATCCAATCACCAGAAGTCGGCCTTTGGTTGAAAGGTGAGTTTGTGTTTTATTTATGAACCTCCTCGGCTGTGGAATCAATGTCCCTGAGATGCTGAGATTATATTTCTCAACATAAATCATAAAGGTTTCAGTCAGCTTACTTAGCTAAAACTCATAGAAGACAAAGTACTCTGTTTAAACAAATGAAATTGAACAGCAAGCGAAGTTCTTCAAACCATTGAGATAAACATAATTCACTTTTATTTTCAATGTTTAGGCTATGGCTGCCATTGTTTATGTAACCTAAACAGGACCATTCAAGCATTACTGAAAGGCATTATTATTAACATTCACTGCACAGTCAGTCAAATGTTTAGACAGGATTCAACATTTTTATCCACCTATTAAGTTCTTCCCAAGGACCCGGGATAGGGAAATGTTGTTTGATGATATTAAATGTATAGATACATTTGTAGTTCTCAATGGAGAACTACAAACTCAATTATAACTAAAAAAACCAAAAGTATACATAATAGACTGGGTGAAACCAGGCTCAATGGCAGTAACTGTGAGAGGGATCTTGGAGTCTTAGTGGACAACCAGCTAAATATGAGCCAGCAGTGTGCAGCAGCAGCCAAAAAAGCGAATGCAATCCTAAGTTGCATCAACAGAGGGATACAATCAAGATCAAGTGAGGTACTAATACCAATCTATAAAGCCTTAGTAAACCACACCTAGAGTACTACATCCAGTTTTGGTCACCACACTGTAAAAAAGATGTTGCGACTCTAGAAAAAGTACAGAGAAGAGCAACCAGGATGATTAGGGGACTGAGACTAAAACATATGAAGAATGGTTACAGGAACTGGGCATGGCTAGTCTAGTGAAGAGAAGGACCAGGGGATACATGATAGCAGTGTTCCAGTATTTGAGGGGCTGCCACAGAGAGGAAGAGGTCAGGCTATTTTCTAAAGCAGCTGTAGGCCAGACAAGGAATAATGTATGGAAACTGAACAAGGAGAGATTTAACCTGGAAATAAGGAGAAACTTTCTGACAGTGAGAACCATCAACCAATGGAACAGCTTGCCCTTGGAACTTGTGGGAGCGCCATCACTTGAGACTTTCAAAATGAGATTGGGCTCTCATCTGTCAGAAATGGTGTAGGCTCTTCTGCTTGGGCAGGGTGTTGGACTAGATGAACTACAAGGTCCCTTCCAATTCTGATTATCTGTTATCTGAACTACATCTACATGGAGGAAAGCAAGCAGTGGGTACCACAATATTTTGTTTTAGGCCTAGTACTCTTTAACATCTTCATAAACAATTTAAATGAGGGGATAGAAGGGGAACTCATGAAATTTGCAGATGACACCAAGCTAGGCAGAATTGCCAACATTTTAGAAGATATCCATATTCACAATACAGAAGGAACACTAGGCCCTATCCAACAAAATGCAATTTAGCGATGAGAAAAGTTAAGATTTTACATAGGTAAAGAAAAATCACAGGTATAGAATAGGTGATACCTGTCTCAACAGCAATCATTGTGAGAAGGATCTTAGAGTCCTAGTGGACAATGACTTATGTATGAGCCAGCAGTGTGCTGCTACTGCCAAAAAAGCCAATGCAGTTCTAGGCTGCATCAACAGAGAGATATTATCATCATGTGAAGTGTTAGCACTACTTTATACTGCACTGGTAAGACACTTGGAATACTGTGTCATTTTGACAACACAAAAAAGATGTTGAGACTCTAGAAACTGTAGAGAAGAGCAACAAAAATGATTAGGGAATTGGAGGCTAAAACATAATGAATGGTTGCAGGAACTGGGCTTGTCTAGTCTATGGATAAGGACTAGGAGCAACTGGATAGCAGTCTTCCAATATTTGAGGGGCTGTCACAAATAAGAGGGGATTGACCTATTATCCAAAACACCTGAAGGCAGGACAAGAAGCATCCTGATCTCATTTTCCAGCCCATTCTTGAATTTTGGCGGTGCACTGTTTGGCTTTTTTCTCGTTTGTTGATTTTGTATTCCAGTTATTCAGTTGTAACTGCCAAATTAAAAAGATGCACCTTATGCTCCTTTTCAAAAAAAAAACAAGATATAGAGACCATTGGCTACTGTGCAAAGATATGCATACCAGTTTGGAAGTGACATACATTGAAAAGTTATTCTAGAAGTGGCTTTGGTTAATATCAATGTTCTCAGATGAGTCTCTTCTGCAGATGTAGCAGGTTTGTAACAAGAGAGAGTTTGTTAAAGGTTTGGGTAATTAAAACCAGTATCTTGAGATCCCAAGGTTTTTGGAAGGGAGTATGGACAGGCATGGCTCAATTTTAATTTATTATTTAACATAATCTGTGTAGTTTTCTTCTGATTTTGCTGGCTCTTACAAAACCACATTATTCTGGATTAGCTGAAATTTGAACACCTATAACCTGATGTAAACCTGCAGCAAAGAAAACTTTGTACTGACTCTGTAAATTCAGCTCTTTGAATAAACAGTTTGTTTTCTTCAACTGTCCCTTCATCCTCAAAGCGTGAGTTCTGGAGCTATGGCTAGCATCCACTCAGGAATGTTTATATATGCAGGTCTGTATACATGTATTTACATATACCAATATGTATCCCTGGCAATGGGAAACATACTGAGATTTCTAAACCAAATATTCCATTTATTTCAAAAAGACTTATATCACAAAGGAAACAAGCTCCCTCTGTTTAGTAAGTAAAGGATGCAAACATGCAATCAGCTCCTTCTGCGAAATAAATTGATGTAAAGTTAACTCATGTAAGAAAATGCATCAATCAATTCATCTACAGGAGATTAAGGTATAAAGGCTGGCGAAAAAGAACAATGCAAGGCAATGAAGAAGTGCAGTGAGGTATAGCCCTTTGAATATTTTTGGATTATAGTTTGTGGTTATAGTTCTCATAACCACAATGTATAAATAGAACATGATGGGTTTCCTATTTTTCTGATAAATAAAAAAGGAAAGAAGTAGAATGTGAAACATCAGTACAGAACATCAGGAGAAATTTGTCTAATTGGCTGCACTCTTAAGTGTATTGGATTACCCACTTAATTAACATTTTCATGGAGCATGCGATCTATGAAAATTCCAGTCTAGCACATCTGGAGAGAACCAGATTAAGAAATGATGACATATCTTCACTTCTGAAGGCCCAACAAGGAATAGGTGAAAGCATCAATGTAGGGTGAAATTCAATGTATGATGAATACAATCTCTGAATTGGAAGGTTAAATGCTTGAAAGCATTCAGTAAAGGCACAGAAACTCTCAATATGGGCATAGTTATTCCTAAAATGATTTGGAATAGATGACCTTTGCTGCCTTATCTGTTATGTAAAACTAAAACTCAAAATTTTGATTAGAGCAGACTTTGTGTAAACCTTTCCCAAATTTGTTAGAAGCTATGCTGAAAGTGAATTATGAGAATCTGAGATCTGGAGGATACTAGACTGGGGAAGAAAAGCAATAGCACTTAGACTTATATACTGTTTCACAGTGCTTTACAGCCCTCTCTAAGTGGTTTAAGAGCCAGCATATTGCCCTCAACAATCTAGGTCCCCATTTTACTGACTATGGAAGATCATGACAGCACGTATGCAAATCATTCTTCCCCAATCTAGTATCCTCAGATCTCATAAGATTTTCATAATCCTCTCCTAGCATAGTCTCTAACAAATTTGGGAATGGCTTACACAAATATTCTATAAACAGGACTTTGAGTTTTAGTTTTACATAGCTTTTTCAGATAATACAGTAAAGGTCTGCTGGTTTCTTGCTGTAGGAGTTAGAAATGTTTCTGGGCAGAAGGGCTTCATACTCTGATGTGTTTTGGGGCAGACTGAGTCATACTGGAAGAATTTTGTCACAGGAGAATTGTATTTGTGCTGCCAAAAACAAAAAATCTGATAAATAGCACTGTTTCTGACTAACACATTTTACTAAAAGCATATGCCTTTTAATAAAATTGATTAGTTGAAAGGTGCTGACAGACACTGGAAAGATAGTTTTAACTCCAGAACAGCTGGATATCCTTCCTTATAATTTACTTAAACCTGAGTAACGATCATCCCACAATCCAAATAATCAGGAATATAGTAACAATCCTACATCACAAGTAGTAGTGGAACGACTGAAAAACACAAAACTTTTAGCAGATTCCTCAACGTTCTGTATCCGTGATAAATTGGCACATATATTCTTGCTCGTTTTGATGGCATTTTAAAATATTTGTAGAATTGCTGTAAGCCCCTCAAAGAGATTGATTACCGGGCACCAAACGAGCACTGTTCATAAATAAAAAGTAATGTCGAATTTGCAAAGGCAGTCTTGGCTGGTGAGGGATTTTTTTTTTTTGCTCGGTTTGTCCTCCTCGCCGGCTGAAGCTAAGCAATCCCGATGCAGACACGCGGCAAATTCGGCCCTGACCTGATCCGCTAGGGCTCAGTGGTGACCTTAGACACCTTAGTGCACGCATTTGGGGGTCTGGATGAAAGAACAGAAAAGGGGCGTTCCCAGAAATTAAACCCCTCTTTGTCATCCAGGCCCCTTTGTCGTCCTCCTGCCCTCCCGAACAGGAGAGAAACGCGACGTTAAAATCATATTGGCCTTCCTTTTCTTTCCTCCCCTCCCCCTTCTCCGGGTGACTCCCTCCTCTCTTTCCCTCCAAGATCTGCGTGATGGTCTCCTACCGTCGGCCTCTTCCAGACGATGCCTTTTGTTTTGTGCGAGTTTGGCCCTAGTTCTTTATAGCCCAGAGAGGGCGCGGCGGCGGGAAAAGATGGGTCTTGGAAGAGCTTGCCCGCCTCCAGACACTCGTTCCTCAGCGCGTGAAAGTCCTGGTTCAGGTACTTCACGGCTTTGGAGTTGGAGCCCAGCCCTTGCGCGATCTGCCTGTCTTTTGCTAATTTAGCGGCAATCCCAGCCATGGTGCAGCTTGATCGCGCAGCGCTCCTCCCGCCTTCCTCTTTTGCAAGGAAGCCCCGGCGAGCGGAGGGGATTCAGAGCCAAATTGGCCGAGGGTGATTCATTTCCAGGAGAGAAAATAACAGCGTCTCTCTGCCCGGGGTGTGGCTGGTCCGGCCCTTCACGGGACAGGCTGGAGAAAAGGGGCCGCGAGCCTCCTCCTGCGGCGCCTTACGAGCTCACTAGACGAGCGAGGCTGGCTCGTCTGCATTTTTTAAGGATGTCAACAAACGGTTGGGATCGAGACCACGAAGGTTGAATCCGATCAGTTTTTAGGGTGGAGAGGTGCCCACCTCCTGGGATTTTACAGACAAGGAGAAAGAGCATTTAGATCCATTGGCTTCCCCGCCTCTCTCTCTCTCAATCATCTTATCATCTATCCTTCTATATCACTAGAAATGGCTGGGCAGCATACCAATAAACCAATTACGCAAATGATTTATTACTTAGTATCCTGCTCTACATAAAGTTTGCATGCTATCAAAGCAATATTTTTAAAGAGCATAAGTGAAAAAGCAGTAGCAGCTATAATAATGGCAATAAAAATATAATAAACAAGAAAATTGAAATACCAATAAAAGTTATAAAAATGCTAAAAAAAAAAACCAAAATCCTGAGAAAATAAAAAGAATTTGCTCTCAAAGGATGATTGCAAAAGTGGAATACTCTACCTGACTCTGTGGTTTCTTCCCCAAATCCCAAAAACTAGCCTTAGACTGTCTACTATTGACCTCACCCCTTTCCTAAGAGGTCTGTAGGGGGTGTGCATAAGCTCACAAACTTGCCTACGGTCCCTGCCCTATTGTTTCTTTTTTATTTTTCTTATATGTATCCATTTCATATATTCATAATTATGTTTATACTTATACCTATTATCTTGTAAGCGATTGACAAATCAAATAAATAAATAAATACATACATACATACATACATACATACATACATACATACATATAGGGCAGGAGCACCTAACTGAAAAGGACCTTTTTCCTGCCTTGCCATCACTTTTAGAACCTCCTTTTCGGTTACAGATAAATTGGTTTCAACTTCTGATTCCTTGCTCCTAAAAGCACTGCTATGAGATCTGGTGCATTTCATCTCAGATATAAGTCTTGGCTTGTGTTAGTACAACATGGTTCTTTTAAAAGCTTGGTTTTCACACTTAAAACTAATGTTCTGAGTTTAGAGATCATTGTGAAGGTAAAAAGTAAACACATCAGCTGCATTTGCACAACCCACTAGGCTAAAATTTGATTGGGTTGTTTGTGGATCAGTTGTGCTGTGTCTATTGGGATAGATAAGTTGAAGAAAATTTAATAAAAATTTAACAATAGGACAGAGATAGAAGGCATGTTGGTGCGTTTATGCATGCCCCCTGTGCTTATGTATGTCCCTTGTCAATCAGGCCTAGTTTGGGATTCAGGAGTCAGGTTTGCTGGTTTTTTAGACAATTGCTGGATCTCTGTTCAGATATATAGCCTGAGTTACAGGTTATAGGCATGAATAATTTCCATGCTGGCAATCTGTCATTTAGGCAGCTTCCCTGCGATTGAAAGTTTCTGTCCCAGGCACCTGTCTCTTTTACTCAAACTAGACTTTCCATACATTAATGACAGCAATTGATGACTGTTTTTCTAGCCTTCAGGTAACACTGCATGGCAGGGGGAACACAGCCAGGGGAATCCACCAATCTTTGTCTTTGACGTATGTCTCAAGAAAAGTACAAGAACAGAACCAGCCACCAGCCTTATTACTGAGGCAGAATAAAACTTGGCCCTGGGGCCACACAAATTATGCCAGCATACCTTTTTGGCAGCTGAAGAATGAGAGGAATGTACATTAACCCAGTGATGAGGAACAGCCCTGTACAGTATCTTTCAGGATAAAGTGGAAGCTATAGAATTAATCTCTTTTCTGGAAAGTTAAGTTCATTAAAAATAATGTAAAATCAGTTACTTCAGTAAAAAGATGTTAAAATCAGAATGTATTCTTTCACAAATATAAGATACAATATAGAATGAAATTTGTTCCACCCAAAAATGCCCCTTCTTTTTTTTGTTGCAAAGATAGATTGAAAGCACATTTAGTTGTTTTTACCATTGTTTATATTCCATCCTCACGAAAATTCTCATAATAGTTAAAAAAAGAAAGGAACAGTTAAAACAGTCCCACCACAATTCTAAACTAGAACAGGAAAAAGCAAAGCAATCAAGACCTTTTTAAAAAGAAAAATAAACCCTCAAGCAACCATTCTACCCTATTATTTTAGTCCTTCACTAGCTTTAGTCAAAAAGTAAATTCAGTAAATTCAGCAGGTTATAGTAGAGATGAAGATGGACCCTGTGGGAGAGGTCCATCTTTTTATACATCTTTTTCAAAAGTGAATGTGCTGTATCTTCTGATTTCTTCCACATCCCAAAAGAAGCTTGTTTTTCAAAATATTTTGAGGGGACCTTTTGGGTTTCTTTTGATAGTATTTGTTTATTATTATTTCTGGCATTATAGATGGGGTTTTAAAGACCTTTAAAAAGATTAGAAAGAATATCAGAAAGAAAAAGCTTGGAAATGGAAGTGATAGCTGTCAGTTAAATTTTTTGAAATGTATCTAAGCATCTGATTGTTGAAACTGGATTATTGATTTTTAACAAAACCCAATAAATCTGAATTGGATTAGTTCATTGACAAGTGGGAACATTGTCAGTGAACAATAAGCTGCCAATCTGATTGATGGAGGGATGTTGGCCAGTATAAATCCTAAAGCCTTTCTTAGTGCTTGATATCAATAAATCTGGTATTTAGAAAAATGGATGGGTGAGTATATACTAGGTACATGGATATTTTAAGTTTAGATCATAACTTCTAAGGGATTTGTGTTTAAAATGATTTTAGCGAGAAGTTAGGTTTTTTTTTAAGAACAAGTTTTATTGATTTTTGAAGACAAACAAAACATAACACATAAAAGTATAAAACCTCCTTTCTAAGAATTACTTATAAATTTTAACCAGGCAAATAAAGCATTATTTTTTAAAACATAGTTCCACATTATCACATTTCCATTTACACAAATATATCTTTTCCAAATTTCTCATTATTTCTCCCTTCACTTTTGTTCAATTATATTTCTTTCTATCAAAGTTTTAGTAATTCTCAATCAGTCATAAGCACACAAAATACATAACCTAAAGCAAAACATTTAAAAAAAAACTCCTTAGTTGTCATTTATATATGTCTTTTCCCAATTTCTCTCCCTTTGGTTTCATTCCTCCAAGGTTTTATTAGTTTACAGTCAAACATAACTAATCAACACACAAAACATAAAGCATAGAACTTCTTTTGAAAAGTGGCTTAGCCCCGGGTTACATCTTTTTTGACAGACCTAAATCAAATTCATGCTCACCTTATATACCCTTCATATCTTATTAACCATTTTATATTTTCTATATAACTTCTCCCATCTTTTCACTCTTTTAATTATGTTTTATTTATTTCATCTTATTTCAAAATCATTATGCTTATATCTTTTGTCCATTCTTTACCAATCATCTATTTATCTCTTCTCTTTAACAAAAAATTTCCCCTGTAATCACTTTTAAAGTATGACGCCTTCCCCTAAAGTAGAACTTAAAATAATACATAATTTCCATCCTGTTTCTGTTTAGTACATTCTACATATTAAATCTTAAAATAAAAGAATAGTAAACTTATAGTATAGTTAAATGTATAATTTCCATTCTAATTCTAATTCTGATAAGTACATTGTTTTAGAATAAGAAAATAAAATACTAAAGTTATAATAACATTAAGACAATAACAAATTAAACTATAACTAAGCATTAATCATTTTACACATTCTCCTTAATATTTTATTAAATATTAACATCTATCATTATTAAACATTAATATTTTATTAAATATTCCAACAAACTATTTCAAATGCAAATACTACAATACTATCTTATGCACTCTTGCAGAATCTTCTTTAATTATGCACTATCCATTATCCTTCATCTCTAAAAAAAAAATTTCTTTTTGAAATCTTGTTCTAGCCCGTGGCTTTTTTTTTCTTTTTCCCTCCCTTTCTTCTCCAATCTTGTCTTTTTGCCCCCCCCCCCCTAGCCTCCCTCTTTTAAACTTCCCCTCTCTGTTGTAATTCTCTTTTCAATTGCTTTCTAACATTGTACCTTCTTTTCACCCTATTTTTCTTTTTCTTGGTTGTTTTATTAAATCTTAAATTCTCATTTTTCCTTCCTCTCTTCCCATTTTCTTTCTTAATCGAACTTTTTAGTCCATTAAAGATGGCTTCTTCCTTTTCTTCTTCTTCTCCTTCTCCTTCCTCAAGTATTTGCTGGTACATAGAAACTGCCATATCATGGTTGACCCACCTCTGAGGATTAGGAGTGGGAAGCTTTGTTTATCAGTAGGTTTTCCTTTTCCTGAAGGTATTTCAATCTGGGAGAGAAAAGTCATGCACTAGGGCCCTCTATTGTGTGTGACACAGAGTTTCATATTGTCATTCTTGCTATGAAAAATACCTTTGAAGTTGCTAGGGGAAGCATCATCAGTATGGAGTCTGGTATTATCAAGTTTAAGATAAGTTAGAACCCTTTTCCCACCCTGGCCTATGGTTGGGTATTTGATTCCCAGGCCTTAGTTTCTTATTTAGTGATGTTGTTATCATTATGTTAGGTTTCATTTTATTACAATGTTTTTATGTTTTAATCCTTTGACTGAAAAAGGAAAGATAAGCTGAGTCCTGCTGAGTGCAACCAAAAGCTCACATGGTACTTTGGCATTAGGTAGTGTCAGTTGGGAAGGACAACTGCTGCCCCAAAAAAATGATAATTGAGCAGCTTAAAGCTGGAAACTGTGAATTCCATCCAAGAGCAACTCATTGTCTAGATGGTGGCTCTGCTGTTCCCTTTTAAAACAGTTCTTAGGAAATTTAGGGGAATGATGACAAAGGAAATAAGCTTTTACTTCCTACTATGACTGGGAACTCCCAGAGATGGCCAACACGCTACAGCTGCTACCAAATAACACTGGGAGGTGGGGTCCTTAATAGGCCCCTTTTATCAGCATAAGTGGGGCGGGCCAATCCCATTGAGGAAAGATGGTTCCATAGATATCCATGCCATAAAGCAATGCCCCTAACCTTTTGGGTGCCGGGGACCAGTTTGGTGGAGGGCAGTTTTTTCATGGACCAGATATGTGTGGTTTTGCACAATGCCTGAATCCTGCGCATACACAAATGAGGTTTTGCTAGCTTGTACAGCCCAGTTCCTGGTGGTGTTGGGGATCCCTGACATAAATGACTTTAAAGGAAATAACCAACACCTTGAATTACAACCCAAAGCA